CGATTTTCAGGTTTGAAAAATAATTGTATAAAAAATTAAATATCAAAATTACGAACACATCATTCTGACTGTCAAAATGGTAATCAAAACTGTCCAAGAAAGACAAACACGTGACAGGACAAGATCCATTGAACGATGATTAATTAACCTTCCGTGAATCGATTGATCGAGCCGCGAAAGGTGTCGATGTGTTAATTGATTACAAGCTCGGGCCAAAGCGGACATTTTATTAACCAGTTTGAAGAGCTGGCCAGATTTTAGAGGCGGTAAAAAGGGACGAAAAATCGTTGAATCAGCTGCGGTCCCCCTTTTGTACATACCGGCTCGAAGTAGCATCAGGGATTCTCGATTCTTCTTTTCTTCTCATCGCGAACATCCTGGCGTTTTTGTTACAAATTTTTCTACAACCTTTTTGAATCTACATAGCACGTGCTACGAACGCAACTCTGTCGGTGTAAAATATCGATGGCAATTAGCCAGCTGCTTGATTTAAGACCGGGCTTCGAGATTCGTATTGGGAGAGTTCAATCTCGATGGGCAGACCCCTTTAATTTCGTACATATAAAGCATGCTTGCTGCTCGAAGTCTAATTAAAAAATTGCTTTGGAAGGATGCGACGATTGGCCTCTGAAGCGTTGTCGTTGAGATGTACCTCTTATTTTGAAGAGAACAACTTAATACTTTTCCTCAGTAGCTTTGGCTATCTGTGGAGGAGGTATGGATGATCCATAATTTTTACAGGGTGGTACAATAAATTAATTTTGTAACGACTACTTGAATTATCACTGTAGTTATTCTTAGCAATCACAGTCACTCTTACTAACGAAAGAGTTAAGAAACGTATTTATAGCGTTTTAAATAGTGAATTTAAAGTAAACTCTCTCATCGTCAGTGACCATTCATCCTAACCATCGAAATGGTTAAGAAATTTACTCTCCAAACTCTTTAAATGAACATTGTACGTATTCTGTAGCCCATGTTCCCTCAGTGACTGTAAACCATATTCAAGATTTTGTTCAAACAATCATGGTTGTAATTGTTTCGAAGCACGTAGTCGCGTAATGGTGTTAAGTTGATATTAATTGGAATGATAACAGGTCGTATTACGTCCGCCATGATCGACCAGATAATTTTCGGTATAATTAATACGAACGCAGATCGTTATCGAGGATAAGATATGACGATGAAGGTAACGCATAAACTACAGGTGATCCCCGTCGCGGAAGAAAGGTGTTAATATTCATACGCCGATTAATTTCGGGCTACCCGGGATATTCAATTTTATTCACCGTACAAATTGTTATGAATGTGAACAGTTTTTATCAAGTCTCAGCGAAAGCATAGTGTTTTCGAATGAACACGAATAAATTAAGACGAATACGTGGACGCTTCTTCGATACTCAATTTATTCGATCGCAATGATAAACCTTTTTAAATTGCCTGCTTATTACGCGATAATGAATATACATAATGTGCTCGGACTTACTTTTTTTTCCCGTGAATAGTTGATTTAGCTGACGGTTTATAGGAGAATAGGAGATTAAAAGATAAATTCAGAATTAATGCCTGAATTGCATGCAGAAAATGCTGTATAGTGACTAGAAAGAAAAAAAGATTGATTTTGAGATAAATCTATTAGTGTAATTGAATTTTTACGTTATTGCAGCTGATTTTTCTTATTACTTTGTGTAATTATGCAGATTGAAATTTTAATTCAGTTTTCCTTCATAGAACAATGTCGATATCAATCATACACATTTTGTATTATTTAATTTTTGTTTCGATTATACTTTAAACTGAAATACCGTAAAATGTATTCGAGCAGAATTTAAACTTTAATCTACGACGAAGCTTGCAATTAAGCCGGCCTATCGATTAATCGAATTTTAACAATCCACCTAATCCTCCATGAACTCTAGTGTCTGAATTATGAAGGCTATAAAGCAAGATGTTATCGATATAGAAAGAAGAGCCGAGGTTGCAATCTACTATCGAAAACCAGGTGGCTAAGCTGTCTACTGAAGGAAACGCGGATCCACAAGAGTATCGTTATTTTAATTTTACGAGAATTATGATATCGTGTGCGAGGAAACTGTGACACCGTCTCCGGGCAAGCTGCTTTAATTAAACGTCTACTTTGTTGTTTGCCAACGATCATTAAGCTGAAAACGTTGAACGACGTCGATTCATCGGTGAAAAGAGAAGAAAAATCGAGACGATTTCATTAGCATAATGTGGGTCCTTGCCGACATAATCGATGACACGAGATCTGGTTCGCATAAATGCAACCCCTGGTAAATCCGTATTGTAATAAAATTTGGTTTAAATAATTTTTCGTACGATGCTAATGAGGCCTCGTTTAACCGTCCATTAATTGTTATGGCCGCGCGATAAAGAATCGCGATAACATCTGAAAGGGTGGTGTAATTGAATCACAATGTTTTTTTAATATTCGCATGTGTACTTACTTACATACTTGTTCACCTTCTGAGAGGGAACTCGGATGTTGTACAAATCGTGATTGTTCAGATTAATACTTTCACGTTATAATAAGCAAAAATCTAATCTAGAGAAGTCCCATACAGGACTTATCTCCTTCTAAAATTTATTTAATTTAATCATCCAAATAAAGCTTAACATATTTATCTCACAAGTATAATATTCTTCTTCAATTAACAATTAAACATTTCTGCATATGCATATCGTAATTATGAAGGGATCATAAAAAGACCTAGCAGAAGACGAACCTTGGAGTCAATGTCTACACTCGACTTTCGCTCCAATCAAAACCAAACAAGTTCCCAACAAACGACATACTAACACAGAATATCCTCATATCATCATCGAAATCTGTCCACCCGAGTATCGGAACAGATGTTTCGAGTGTGTATCTATGGTGGCCGAATGAGACGGTCGGAAATTATGAATTCAGGAATCGCTTGGTCCGGGTGCCGGTGAACGTTTAATCTGGCAAATTGCGCCGAGTCGAATCAATCGGGAGCTGCCTTGTAATCGAGTCGCGCATTAATGCCTCCTGTAACCCAGTTACAGGCGGCGGCCTGTCGATTTTGCCTCAAGATACCAGCCTCGATCGGTCGATACAGCACGACGCCTTGGTTGACGCTTCACGTCTCGTCGCGTGGTCGCCACACGACGCGTTGATCATACCGGAAGATTCGGCAATGATCCACCGATATCGATCGCTGATCGACAATTGACGAAAACGAGGAAACAATAAATGCCCGATGAAGAAATCAGATGGATAAAAAATAGCAATTAAATATAATCACTTTTAAAATTTTCTTTTATCATCTCAGAAAGCGATTATAATTATCTATATTATAAAATATAAAATATTTATCTACTACAGTGTCTAATAATTTAAAAAAATTGACACCATCTTAAACCTAAATAAATTTAAAAAAAAGGTGAATAAGAAGAAAAAATAAGTAGATGCATATAAAAAGATAAGGAAGATCATCAAGCAGCAAACACAACGAAACAAGTGGACACGCGATGGAAAGACGAAGAAAGGGACAGAAACACGATGAATAAGGATGGTGTTTTAAAGAATGAGAGAATAAGAAGATGAAGAAGGGTCCTAGAGGTAAAGGGCCGAGAGGGTGAACAGAAGACGTTCAATTTTTGTCGCATCTGCCTAAATGTACGTTAGCCTATGATCACCGTTGGGCCCCTGCTTATATTATATCTCCGAAGAGACTAAGTATCGTTTGATTGCGATTTTCAGACCGGTATTATTTCGTGTACGTGTCAGGATACAAGAAAGATGATCACGCGCGCGCCATCGGTGCTTGGATATCCTTTAGTCCGAGCGGTCGACCATTATCGATCTTCGAGGGTAGAAATTGTTTCGCCGCTTTTAGGGCCCCAGTGAGAATAATTGATACGACCAGGCGCGTGCGCTGCATCGTCAAGGAAACCACGTGACAGGGTGTAGGATATGTGGTTCGGGGAACGCGATCTACCTGATCCTTTGGATATTCGCGCGAAATTGTCGGTCGAATTGATTTATTAGCGATCATCGGGGTGATTTATATATACATACGCCGTTGTCATCGTTGAGTTTGTTTTTATCGGGAATAAGGATGAATAGGTGGGTTGGAAGGGGAGGGACTGTTGGTTTTCCACTTTTTTTCTTTATTTTAGACAGGTAAAAATTTATGAAAGAATTGCTAAAAAAAAATTTTTCACTGGAAAAATGAGGAGTTTAAAAATAAATAGTAGCTTAAATAATTTATTTATGAAATATTTAAAAAATAAATTAAGAAAATTGTACAAATTAGTCGTTTTAATTATTGCAAAGCGAAAACCATATTCAAACTGCATATTTGAAATGGGTGCATGTTATCTAAATGGAAACAATGTATCCTCCGGTGTAATGAATAAAAATATATTTATTATGCAAAGCGTGGAGTGACAGTCTTATTATGATGCAAAGGGGTGTCTCTAAAATACCGGTGTTTCGCGGGTCGTCTTCTTTAAGACCTATATTACACAGCAGCTGGAATATCGCAATTTTTAATCATACAGTGTCGTACATCATATATTATCAGCCGCAAAACAAGTATTATTTCACTAATATTCCAACCATCCGGCCACTTAATGTTGAAATATGGACTCGTGTTCAAGAGACAACTCTATACCGGGTGTTTCTTGCACCTCTCGGACAAGAGGACAGTTTGCTTTCTTTTTTTCTTTTTTTCAAACTAATTTTTTAAGTTACGTCGTGCAGCAAAACCGATTATTAGCAACGGACACAAGGTGGTTCGAGGCGAAAAAATAAAACTACTTTGTCTGTCTTCGTAATAACCATCAGTTAACTCTTTATGAAGACATAAATATTCTTTGATTTCTTACTTAGGAATTAGTGTGCCAGTTCGATGTAGACTGATATATTTTTTTTTTTGAATATTAATATAAGGTATCAAGTTGAGTAACTATATTAGTTCTCTATATTTCTTTTTCATTTCTTTTTAATGTAAATAGAATTGAATACTTTAAAATTTTGAAAGTTAGAAGTTAATATTTATGTTGCAAAGAGCATTCTTTCTATGTTCCGCGCTTCTATGATGTTGTTACCGGTTTTGAATATAATGCCACGAAGAGAATGTAAAAATTTAAATGCGACCGCGTGGAAAAAGAAAATGTACGTTTTTAAAGCGATGCTATAAGTACCTGGTATCATGGAAATTGGAGTGCAATTTCAAGACTCCAAAATGTGGCAACGGCCCTGAGCTAGATACACGCCTGTGATTACGAATGATGCGGCTCTTTATTTCCACTCTACTATGTTGCATCGAAAACGACATGTTTCCCATCTTATTGCATACCCATGTCACGTACATGCGAGTTATAATGAGCGTTAAAGCACTCACTCAATAATTTTTTAGCGTCTTAAATTAAACGTCTTCAAAATTACTTAACCATTTCCAAGAAAAATCTGAAACATTGTAACACAATGCATTTTCAAATTCAAAAAGCTAAAAGTTCAATGACGGTGTGAAATTTTAAAGGATGGTATTCAAAAAGTAGTATCAGGGTTTTAAATTTACTCTTACAATTTCAATCCTCTTTTAAAACCACCTCATACAGAGATACCACTCAGACAACCCCGCAATTACTATCTCCTAATTCTTATTTAATCTTCCATATCTTGAAAATCTTGGATGCGAACATTTCTTCATTCCCTTGGTCAGTACAAAGAGAAGTATCAAATATTTGTTAAGGTGCAATGTAAGAGATAGAGAGATGAATTTGAGAGGGAGATCGTGTTCCATGTTGCAACATGCCTGATCATAATCTTCCGATCTTTAGTTATCGATGGATCGTCGTTATACAACCACGCGAACGTAATTTTCTCCCTATGGAGGCTGCGAAGCAATCTCGTTCCCATCGCTACGCACCACGCGAAACAGACTATTCCAGGACACTCGACCGAGGTGGCTAATAGGCATTCGTGATTTCGCGTGCTTAGATTTTTAAGGGCAGGTGATCTGGCCACCAACTGTCCCCTTCAAGGCAAAGATCGTACCACATCCATTTTCTCTTCTCCAAAGGGTGAAAGAGAGACGAAGGCTAACAGTGCCCTGATGCCGATGGTGTTGCATTCGACTCGATTCTGACCAGCAAAGTAGGCGGTGCCCCGAAATTTCGCATTGACTTTCTATGAGCTACGTATACCCGGTGGCATTCATAAATCGTTCAGGATAGGCGGGAAACATGGTTGATACAGTCGACGTTTCGAACACTTGCATCTTTCCATATGTATAGATTTAAGTAAATTTTATTTCATCAACCAAGTTATCAGTCGCTATACGTGAATGTACCATAGTTAAAAAAAAGTAATCAAGTAATCACGCCCAAACGCAAAATAGAATGAATTCTCCGCGGAATAAACTAAGAAGTCAAGTATGAATCAATCGCAAAGAATCACCTGGTATCACCAATTTATTTGTCGTTAGGAAATCGCGAGTAGAAACAGGCAATCGCGTCCAGTTTCCATATAAACGTGTCGTCAAGCTCGCAGGATGCTTCTTCTTGCCCCAGTTAATTGAAGGAAGGCACAGTACGCACGGCATTCCTCGCCCCGTCATCCAAGGGCGCAAATTGTCGCGTCATGTCGATCGATTCAGGACGACTTTTTGCGGAATTCGCGACGCGGATTTGTCCGCGAAATATCATCGAGCGGACGTTGTTGTCCGCATAACTATGCCGTCCACAAAGTGTTCGGTTCCCCTTTTGCTTTCTTCTGCGATCATTACGTGTCACGGGTACATCGTACTCGAAACAGGTACGATCGAAACAAATGGAAGGATATCGTCGATTATCTTCTTCGGTGATTCTCATTCTTCTTTCGATCCTTTTTCGTACTTAACGCATTATCAATCGGTACGTGGAGTGGATAAATACTATACTACTCTCCCCAGTTAAAATGCTTTATACATCATTCTTTTATTTTTAAAATGTTTCGAAATATTTGGGATTCATTTCATTTTACTTTTGTTTTTTTCTAACACATTTTAAAATGCAGTACAAAATTCCAATAAATATCTAAATAAGTATCTATTAATTACATATGCAAATTAGACGCCACTCCATTTTCTTCTTCTTTTATACCGGAAATACGTCGTCCTTTACGTCATTTATCTGTCCACGTCCTTCAGGTCGGCCTGATTTTCGACAAACGTTCAGATCTTCCAGTGGCCAGATCTGTGGAATAAAAGCAGGGTCCCAAGAGTTATTACGTGTGACGTGCGTGGACTATGGTTATCTCGAAAAATCGCCCATCAACTTTGTCTGCTTTGTGGCTTCTTTTAAACGTCGGGTTCGGCATGCTTATTAAAACCAACGAGCATGGGTCAGCAGCTTTAGTGTGGGCGTTTGGAACATTGCGACAGCCGAATTCTCGGAAATGATGCACTATTTGGTTTTTCGATTTTTTCATCTTCAATTCTATTTTTTTCCATCGAAAAAAATTTTCTCTTTTTTTCATATTTCGAATTTCTAACGATAAGAGTCGAATATGATATCGCCACCCTTTCATGGACTTTGAAAGTACATGCGCGAACAGATTTCTGAGTCAATGTGCCAGCAGTAGGTGGTGCAGCAGGCGAGAACGATGGAGAAGATCGGTTCTCGATCCTTGCAGAAGGAGGCACGTGTGTGACCGTATCATTAGGACCACCCTTCGTGACCCTGGCGAGCATTTTTCGACGGCGTAATGACACTTCGTGCGCGAACCATTTAGGCGGATCCGCGGTAAAATTATTACGGCCCCGAGATACCGACCACGAAGACCCTTCAACGACAAGGAGAACAGGCGCAACCTTCGAAATTGCACGCTCTAAACACAAAAAGGATTGCGCTACCTGGACTGTTTGATTCCGCCTGTAAGCGATGTAAATTCGCGATCAACAATCGTGTCTCATTTTTTATGCTGATGCACAATCACTTTGGTTCTTTAAATCCTTTTACCTCTTCTGTTCTTTCTTTGAAAACGTTTCGCAATGAACAGAAGGAACGTGCCAATAATGGATGAACGATTGAGACTTGTGGAAAAAATTGATTTCAAAAATGTTTTCATTATATAGATTTCTCTCTTTCTGTCATTCTACAGAGTTATAAATAAATTTTCGATATGCGTTCACCAATCTTAATCGTTAACTTTAAGTGGATAAAATTAATATTAAAGACCATTCAGACAATCATCGACCACTTCCTTTCTACGCACTTTTAACTTTCTACAGTGATTAAGGAGACACGAAAATTAATCACCATCGCATTTTCATGTACGAAAACGGAGTCCAATTAAAAGAATCACTGAGCTCGTTCACCACTGATCGACAACAGCTGTCCACCGCTGAATTACCTGCGACCTATTAACAAGTTTGAAAATACACATAAGTACACAGTTCGAGCAAGCTGGCAACAGGAAAGTCGCGGCAATAAGCATGCAAAGTATCGATACACCTCGTGTTGCAAACTCGAAAATCACATGGTTCCCCCATAGGAAGGGCGCACTTTCGCTTCGACTGTTGTACACGAGAGTGACACCTGTACACGAAATAATAAGCGCAAACAGCTGTGAAGTATACTTCACTGTGATTGCGGCTCAATTGGACTAATCTGCTTTCAACATTAAAAAAAAAGAAGATTTAAAAAAATGATCTCCAATTCTGCAATAGCCTAAGGAATTTTGTAATTCCTCCTCGAAAATTCACAAGTTACGACACAAAGGTGTCATACGAACGTGTAAATCGAGATACAGCTCGTATAAACGTTCAATTTCCAAACACCTGTGGTTTAATAACTGTATCTTTCAACAGACGCCTATACTTAGGGACAAAACGATTGAATGTGTAGAAAGTTTCAAAGAATGATTGAATCTCTCGTCAAATACATACAGCTTGATAATTGTAGTGGGATATCCAAGGATAATTGTGGTACGATGCCTAATTTTACAAAACTTGTATTAGGGTAGTGGATTAATGGGTTAGATTTCACGCGTGTGGTCCACGTTTTATCTTATGTCTTACATATACGTTGGATACACAGGCGCCTGTGATATAGCAACCCAAAATACATCGTTAAGCGATCTACAATCAACGTAATTACGAAATTTATTAAATCACATCACTTTGTGATTTTATTTTTCTGTCAAAATATTTTCCATCGAAATGACTTCATTTTTTTTTAGTTCACAATTTTACGGTTACAAATGTTGTTTCTTTCGAAATCCTACGATAGTAAAATAATCATAACAGAAATTGTTCTGTGTGCAAACACATTTCAAGGCATTTTCTATAGTCAGGGTTAGTTGACAACTTACAAAGTTATCATCTATTCACACATTAGGGTGGCCACCCTCTTTGTAGGATGAGACCCTTGGACCCCTTGTCGTCCATGAATACACTCGACTTTAGGGTCATGTTCATTTCACTGTCACGATTATTCATTCGATGTCATTGAATCTTGATAAATACGTGATAGTATCTCTGACAGTTTTTAACCTCGTGTGTTTCATACAAATTATATATTTGGGGATGGATGAAATAATGGAAATGCTTCGTACATTGTAATTCAGCAGTTTAAGGTAAAATAGCTTTAAAAAATGCTACATCAACATTTTTTACAATTGTATCAACCAAATTCTTTCTAATTTCAAAAAATTACTCTTACAAGTTAGAGTTCATGAAAGAAAGGGGAAATAAAAAAGTTTAAATCGTGTTTGAAAATCTTCATAGTGATCTTGATTAGAACTAGATCACCAGTAACTCTTCGTGTCTGTCATCGTTTCATTAAGGGGTTATAAGCTCCTGAGGTGTATCGTGTATCGCGTGGCACGTGGATCCAGGATTAACAGGACTTACCATTGGATTACCAGTGCATTCTGCTGCTACCAGATAACACTGTGTAAGTTGTCAACCGTTCACACCAGTTTTCGTGAGCGTGATCGTCCCTCTCTCCATTCGAATAATTGAACTCCTACGTCCTATTTCATTCACCAGTCGATCCGGAAGATCGCAGATAACTGACGGTTCGTAATTGGATGATTTTCATGGGGAACGGTTCTGGGCTGAAAGTAAACGATAAAACCGCGGGTAATGGACGTCGATTCTCGTGATTTTCATTCTCTTTCCATACACGTCCCCTATGGTAATGTTTGACGTAGGAGATGAAAGGTCTATGTCTGATTTTTTAATAGTAACAACGAAAATGGATGTGATTATTAAGATTAAGAATAATCAATTTTCAAATTTGAGCTTTCAGCTACATTATATTATCATTGTATAAAATTTAAAACGTTAGTTACTGATTACCCCTAAGGATGATATTTAAATTTCCATAGGAGATCAATTTAACGTGTAATTCAAAATTTAATAATGATTGAATTGTCGAATGACCGTAGGTATCCAATAAAAAACACCGATTATTATTGTTGAATAAAATACGAGTCCGTGTATGTTTGCGTGTTGGTCCGGGTGGAGCGTTTTAAGTGTCCAATTAAAGGGTCGGCTTTCCTTTCCGTGCTTTAATTGGACGGTTTTCGCATCGCTGGATGTTTCCGGTACAAAATTGCAGTTTAGCAAAACGCGTTACGCCGTGCTGGAATGACCGACATTCATCATCCCTGCGATAAAAGTAGCTTAATTGAAGCTGAGCAAAGTGGCTTGAACAGGACGGTGTAAAAGTTGACGTTGAATCGTATCGTTTAACCATCGTAATATCTCTTATTTCCGTTTTGAGCATTAAATCCTCTTTTTTTTTTCAATTTTTATTTTAGTATATGACCGCAGTACGGAGTATTAAATGCACTTCATTCGGTTCAGTAGGAAAATCTACTCACGATCAGTCGAAGATTATTATATAAAATTGATAGACGCATTAGCAACACCATACATCCATTAGAAATATTATATTAATATTAATACTTTTTTTTAAATATAGCAAATTTTGTTGCTGTACAAATCGCAACTTCGGTAATTTTTAAATATCAAATATTCTGCACATTCAGAATATTTTTAATATAATCGAAAGTAGACAAGAATTCTTGAGTGTCTTGCGTGTAACTCGCGGATTCTCGCACTTCGGCCAAGAGGCGAAAAAAAGCACATGAACGCGCGTCGAGATGGGGCAATCAAAAGGCGGCAATCCTTTCGTATCCTAATTGGACGATTTTCGCGAGATTTTGCCCCCGCACAGCTGGCGTTTCTAATATAGAATCAATGTGCATTCTTTGACAATACGAATCATTTTTATCAATCCCTTTGTAAGACGAAAAAAAGGGCCAAGACAAGATTATGTGTTTTCTTTCCTTTCGTTGAAAGTATTCAGCCATGGCACCGTGAACGAGCTCGAACAATTTTAATTCCTCAATCGTGGCCCGCTGCTCCAGAAGGAAACGTTGCTCTGAATCTTTAGCAAAGAAGAAAAGAAAGAGACGAGGGAAGAAACAAGGAGAGACTCGTCGCGGCCCACAAATAATTGGGCAAAACTGTTTCTGGCGAATAATTACTCGAATGATTGAAGGCACAACCCCTATCCTTCTTGCGCGACGATCTTTGCCTTTTAATGAAAGGGAAAGGAAATCCAAGAAATAAACGAAAACAAAAAGGCCGTTGTACTTTGTGGTTTGTAGTCTAGCGATAGCCTCGAATCCTGATGAAACTTTATTCTCTTGTTTATGTTATTTAAAGAAAGAGGAAACGTTACAACAGTAACAAAATTGAGAGAAGTCAAATCTTTAAACAAGTTTATTAAAAATTTATTTAGTTTCTATTGAAAGAAATAATGAAAGCAGTTATGAAAGGATATAAAATTTAGTTGTTCTTCTATAATGTCAATACGTGTTCAATGAGTATCGTGAAGTATTACCAATGACCGCAGCTACGAATTTAATAATATTTTTTTACCGTATATTTAGAACTTTGATTTTCGTGCAATTAGCTCAAATCTGTCGCTAGCCACAGTTTCAGCGTTGTTCTTTCAGTCGTAAGGAACGCTCGAATTTTTTGCCCGCAAAAGGACGAATCGGTGGTCCTTCCAATCGAGTTGGCCAACGGATTTAATTGATATTACCCCGAGCCGTTGACTTTTAATTCGTAATAAATTTCGATCATGCGCCACGAGATTTATGAAGTTACATCGACCGACCGACTGTCCATCTTTCTAGCTCCGCGTGCCATCAAAATTCGTCCTCACGACCACTTTGCCGACTTTATGGCAACTGTCACTCGGGCCCGATTTACGATGGGTCGTGGGTGATACATTGGATGGTCTAAATTTGGCGCTGCTTCTCGAACGTGTTCCTAAAAAACGTAATGACTTTCATTGGATTGGATAGGATTTAGCTTGGTCCGGAATTGTAATTATCACGGTATTGATAAGTAACGAGATTTTTTATTTGTGAATGTGGCCGTTGGGCAAAATGTTATTCACCCTTTTATTAGAGCAAGTTTTGTTTGTGGACTCAGAGGATTTTTGCTGGATAAAATTTGATTAACCATTCGAGATCGATTATTAATAAAGAAAATTGAAAATGAAGAAATTCGAACGAAACTAAAACAGATCTCTTGAGAAATGGTTATAATTTAATATTGATAACAGGACTGGGTCAAATAACGTCGTTCGAAGAGATTTTCCAGGCTGACGACAAACGACCCTCCTCTTCTCAGCTGCGAACCGGTGGTGAGCACCTGTGCACATCCAATCAAGCCGAATTCACTCGTGTTGCCGCATATATCTCCGTTAACGCAAGCACCACGGTCAGCGAAACCTGTAGCGAAAGAAAGAGAATGAGCAAGAGTAAGAAAGAAGAGAAAAGCTCGAGGCGACTAACGAGAGAGTAAGAAGACACCGCTTCTGCGGGCCCAGAGGCACCAGACACCGGCAAATTGGGCCGACATATTTCAGCTCCCGATCCATTTGCAGTTTCGACGTAAAACCAGTCGTTGGAATCCAGCCGCGGATGCGAAATTCTTACGAAACGCCTTAGGAACGATTCTCCTGTTTTGGACGAAAATGTCCCTCTCTTACCTGGACCCGCTTCACCAACGGAAAGCTGATCTTTATGATGAGCAATGAGCCTGAAGCGTGCACATCGACACCGAAACCAGATTTATACCGTGAACGATGATGATTCCCTTGCGGGTAATCGCACCAATTTACAGCTGTAACTTCGAGTTAATCGTTTACAAACGTATACAGCGTCTGTCAGAAATAATTTCAACTCTTATTAAAAAATGAATTCATTTAACTGACAATCGATTGCAAGAAAATTTCAAGAAAAAAGTCCAACATTTCAATGGAGTATATTGTACATGTATCAGGTAGAACCCAACGTGCTCCTAATCTAGCTTCAACGCCATAAAATCTCGTTCAAGCATTTTCTTTTCCTCGAATCACGCGAACACACCATTGAAGCACGACATAACGACCTAACTGGTGTAATTACCAGCGAGAGATGTTTGTGGTTACCGCGTGAAAGCAGATGACACGTAATAACGAGATCTGTTTTCGCAGTAGAGATACCAGGGGTTAGAGATCCCTGAAGAACGGGGTGCAAACCAGCCGCTATGGGACCACATCAAGGCTGACCTATGGAGTGTGACATTGGTCCATCTGTTGGTTTCGTAACACTATTAAATTCAACGTCATCACGATAATATATTAACCAGATCGCTGATTAATCAGCAATATCCCCTTTTTAACATTCCATCTTAAATATGCTTCTTGTCATATTAACCCTTTGACAATCTAAAGCACGATTCAAGCTTCAAATTTAATCTGAAATTCGTTTCCTATTTTTATTTCTAAATTTTATATTATTTTTTTAGTATTTGAAATTTTGTCGTTTAGAAACTTAGAAGCTTAATTTTAGTCAATTGCTCACGATTACTTCAACCAATTTTTTTCTTTTACTCCTTGTCAATCGTTTCGCGATACCATCAGCCACGCTCTTGTTTTGGTAATTCAATTAAATTCACCGATTAAGCGGGATCTTTTGGTCGCGCAATTAAGTTAGACCGCATAAATCCATGATGAATCGTGAACTGCTTAAAACGCTCACCTGCCGCGAGCAACATTGTTGGAAACGAGCCCGATCATTGTTCAGATATCGTTGGTGAAACCAGTGGGTAATGCAATGAAATCGGAATCTGGACGATGGCCCTTTAAGGGGTTCGAGGGCTACAGGAAAAACGTCCAGAGAAATCGATGTTATCCGTATGTTGGACGGCTCTCGAAAGGACAAAAACCGAGAATCCGACCGAATACCTGTCCAACGAGCGTAGGTAGACAGCAGGATCTTCTGTACAAGGATCAACTTGCTACCTTGCTGGATCAAGTGACTAAAATGCAATTAACGACAATTAAGCTGACCCTTAAATCGTTTCGAGACCTGTTTCTTTATATAAAAAGATCCTTAAAAGGCAAAATTTCATTTTTATAAATGTTATTACGCGTAGACCTCTCATATCTTATCAATTTTAACTTTATACAAACTTTTTTTCTATTACAATTTCAATTTAAATTGAAATATTAAGATTGACGATAGAAATGAATCGAAATTCATATTAAATTTGTGATTTAATATAAGACAGCATGTTGATACGTGGGCTGAATCGAGATTCATCGTGTAAGAAATAAAACTGTCTCGATAATTCCTGTCACGGTGAATGTTTCGCAATCGACGCTAATTAAAAGCGATTAAAATCGGACGTAATTGAATAACGTGTTTTGGATTTATTGCGGAACATGCGATAATTCGATCAGAGATGTCGAGATTCTTTCCTCGAGGACGTGTATCTTGTCTCTCGGCCGCGAAACACGGAGGCAACAGGTGCAAAAGTCACGAAATTTAAAGGACCCAGATCCTCTTCGTATTGCTTGCACTTCTTCTTCGTTCGAGCCCCGAAATTGCGGGTAGAGGAGAGGGTACGAATATGAAATATCCGTTTTATTTTTCGATGTACACAGTCTCAGGATACTCGTAAATAAAAAAATCAATACGTTGAGTAATAAATTAAAAAATGTGCGCTGTACTTTCGTTGACCAACTATGAATATTATAAGCGTTATGTTGCATTAATTAGCACAGTTTTGCTCGATAAATTGTAACACGAAAATCGTGACGAACACAAGGCGGATCAACTAACTAACATTCCAATTAAACTCGCTGCTTATCATGCATTCAATTAGTATAACTCATATACGGCGTACCTATAACGAAGGTGGCGGGCAGAAAAAGCTTCTTAGTCGTGAAGCCGATACATAAAAGCGAGCTTGTTCGTCGCGCGAACTCGAGGAAAGTAAAGGCGTTAAGGCGCGGACAAGAAGAGGGAAGGCACGTTGAAGAAATAAATGAGAAAGAAGGACGAGCCGAAGAGAGTGGCACCCGTTTTACTGTCCACAAGGCTCGTTACGAATGCCCGATGTACAAGACGAAAACAACCGGTCTTCTCTGCTTCTAACCGATTGCGCGATGGCGCGGATTCGAGCCGCAAGGATTGATGTCTTCTTTTCGTTACGAGCAATCGCGATGTGCCTGAACGCTTTGCACCACCAGTAATCAATGAAAAACCAGTTTTTTTGGGAAAATTGAATTCTTCAGTTGATAAATTTCAATTTATTAACGCGTATCTTTCTCAGTTCGTAACATCTATCAGAGAAAAAGTATATTTGCAATGTTGTATCACGACCGGTTAATAGCTATGATTATGAAGGTACCGATCGTGATTCGTTCGACGATCTCATGACAACAAGCACTAAGTCTTTCCATCAACGAATTAACATGAAACCGAACTCCCATAACTTCACTCACGTGCACTGCTTACAAATGATCGGTAACAATTTTCCACCGGTTCGATAGAAGAACAAACCGATAATTAGAGATGCATGCACGCGTACGTTCCCATGAAACGTTCAAGGAGATTCTCGCACGCATATGCACGATTTTCGTAGCAACAATGTTGCTACAACTCATTGCAAGCATCTTGAGATACCTATAATTATGATAATGATATCTTATGATTGATTTGAACTCATTTGGCGAAAGTGGAACGCGTTTAACCCATTCAAGAAGCAATTTTTTTTCTTCAATTCTAATTTAAAAAGTAATCAATCGGAAAATGACTGAGATTAGTACTAAATATATATTATTTTTAAAGAAATTTTTTTACAATCCTTTGATAGTTAATTTGATACTTATATTTATGAGCGCGGTTTATAGTAGTAAATGAGTTAATTTTCTTGTTCGGACGAATTAAGATACATACTCGAACTCCGTTTAAATAACAAAATAATAATCTGAAAAATATTATACCTTTAACTACGTTAAAGATCTGCACCGGAAAGGTATTAACAGGATACGACTTCCGGTATCGTTAAAAAAATGACAAAAACGAATTGAACGAATCGTCGGCAAAGCTGTAAGAAATGACAAGAATGCGAAACAAGCAGCTATTTATATTTCCTCGTAAAAATTGCCTTCTATAAAGCACAGTCATAAAGCCGCGTTTCTCGCGGTAATTAGCGCGAAAGTATCGGCGCACCTATGACAATAAATTCAATTCCAGCGATGTTGAGAGGCCACCGGAAAGAAAAACAAAGAAATAGAAACGAAGAAGTCGAAAGAGAAACAGGTATCTTGTGTTTATTACTCGTACGTATCATCAAACATTACAAATCATCATTAAAATAAATAAAAAAAGTTACCAGAAAATATCTATAATCTATTTATGAAAAAACTGAATATTTCAGAAATTCAATTGCCGCCCTAAAATTATTTATAACTTCTTTCTTTAAAAAATGTATGCGATTGACTTCAGTCTAAATATCATCCTATGTATCTTGGGTCCTAGGTGACCCAGACATCGCCGGTTGAAGGTTAGACATTGGAAAATTTCTTTTGCAGAATCTGGACGTGTTATTTATTATCAAAATCTATCTATTCTTTCGTTTATTTCATTCCAACATCTCTTGTCCTACCCTCCATTTCCTGGACCTTTCTTACTTTCTGTACCCTCTATCCAAAAGTTCGATTTCTTAATTAACGGTGGACATCCCGGCTGACAGATCACGAGACCTGTTTCTTTATCCACGGCCAGCTGCACGCTTCGCCACCTCCTGGATATTCCTACGTGTACCTTTTTGTCGGCCCTGTTAAGCGTATCTACCCTCCGGATAACGAATTACTTCTTGATTCCCGCTACCAAGCGGATCCGTCTTTCAGGCACACGCAAACCAAGTATGTATATAGGTAATGTAACCTCGGTATTTAGCATTATCGAGGATTGCGTGACGAGCATCGTGCAAATATGTTAAGCACAGAGCCGGTCTTTGCTCGCCTGCAAAGCTTGTACCAGTATTACAAAGTTGCGATGGGAAAATTTAGTCAATCGTGAAATATTCTTAACAAATCTTCTTCTTCGCTAAATAACAGTAAAAACCGTGTACAAAGCACGTTTGAAGTTAAAACAAAAGATGAATGAAAGTGACAATTCTTCTCACACTAGCAGGCATTGCGGCAATTAAAAAGCAATCATGCGTGTCGAATGGTCGCGACAAAGTTCCAAATTCTCATCGTTTCCGCGTCAGTTGACGAGGTTCCCTGTTCGGGAATCAAGTTGGTGAATTCCCGTGAGCGTGCAGAATCCTTGACGATTGGTTTTCGGCGACGAGGAAGATCTTTGAGCGGGCAGAAGCGAGCTGACAAGATAGTAGCGGTGCTCGGTTGGCTCGTTAAAAGGAACCGCGCGGTATCTCATTACATTTTTGCCACGCCGCGTAATAGCCTCTCGATTTACACTCCGGCTCGAAGTATACTCTTGAGACTGGTCGCCCGTTAGGTGGCAACCAATCGAGCCGATGAACGAAGGTAAACGTTCGTTCGTCGAGCGAAGCGTTAACCAGTAACCAGTCACTTCCACAGTAATTACGGGGCTGGCTCGCGTTCGCGTTTTATAGGCGAACCCTGCGACCAACACGGGACCAGACGACTCACTCATTCGATTATTGCATTACCCATGCATAGCCTTAGTCAATACCAGCCCGAAGCTAACCGAACTCTAACCAAGTTGGCGAATACGCCTCCATCTATCCTTTACACCCTTTTCTTTCAATTTCATCGAATTTTTCATCGCCAATCATTCGCGCCAAGAACGATCGATGATATGAAATCTTGAAGATGGTAATCCTCATCTTATCACCACCGTCTGTGTTTCCTAATTTTCGACTCGTTACACATGTAGTATGTACCATAATGAAAATCAAGCGACCACGATCTAAAGTAATCAGGAGGAGATAGTGTTATCGATGGTGTTTAAGTGATTTGTGCAATTAAGAAATTAACAGATAATCGAGAATCGATCGTGATCAGCAGACGAGAGAGTTGACGGGGACAAGAATGGTGTACGGCGACTCTGGGTCCCATGTGTCGGGCATCTCGTAATTGATTGCTCCGTAATTAGCCAGGCTTCTTTCCGTCCTTCAGTAGCAACAGGTGCAACCGGACTACAAAAATGTATTAAGAAAGAGGCAAACGCCTCCTATAGCAATTGAGAATCAAGATTACAGGGTATGCAGCTCATGAGTCGCCCTCGTTCTAACGAACACCCGGGCGACTATGTCTTTTAACCCTTCTTTAAGGTCGTTTTTTATTTGCCTTCGGGGCCCCGTTATTGAAGACTGCCGGTTGCCTAGAATTTAGCACGTGTCAATTAACTTGCAAATTCGATTTAGACCTGGCACACGGTCAACTTGGATTATTTATTAAGGCGGCTGTTGCTGCCAGGGGTTTCGCGAAGCTTTTTCATCTTCATAGATCGAAAATGATCTCTAAATCATTGTTCTCTTCCTTCTTAAATTTCTAGCCTGTGATTAGTTTATCAGATATGAACGTCTGAACGTTCGTTCGGTGTCCATAATCTGTTACAAAATCAAACGTGACAAATTTCATACTAATTACGAAACTCGCAATCACAGGCGATACAAAATACAATACTTTTCTCATATTTACTTCTTCCAGTATCTTCTTCGTTCGTTATTCCAACACGAAGGCTGAACTTCCGGTTTGTTGCGGTAATATAAACGCGTCTTTACGACGGTTATCGCGCCAGAACGTTTATCGTGCGGGTAAAAGGTTGCGATAATAAAACCGGCACGTCTGATAATGCTTAAGGCACCCTGCATAGCTGTAATTCGTCTTTTAATCAGAAATGAGAACCACGGTGTTATTACATTAACATGGTAATTACGAAGGTGCCGGCGGTGTGCAATAAAGCGATAAAATACGAATTCTAACCCGCTTTCGTTTTACCCGCGACACGTCGCGTCGCGTCGCGTCGCATCGCGTCGCGTCGTCGGTCAACGTAGTTTCGCGTTTCAACTTCGTTATTATAGGCAGATGTTAAACGACCTCCACCTTGAAACACCCCCTTCTTATCTCTTCTTCTTTGATATACAGGGTGGTTTTTATTATTCTCTTTTACGATCATTTCGATGATATAGTCCCGACGATCTCAGACATTTTAGGAAGGGCCCAGTTAATTTTGTGCCACAAATTGATTCTTATTTTTAGTATCACTCTTTTAACCTCTTAAATGAGCCACTTTTTAGGCGAATAAGTATAATTGATCTTATATGCGCTTTTGATCTTTATTTTTATTGCCCACATATGGGGACCTTTTTCATGCGAAAAGATGTCTATGATAGAATGTCATTTCTTGGTAATGCAAGTGCAATAATATCGTTGCTATTTCAGATTTTTAAGATGATAACGAATGATAGACTTGCACCATTATTAGATTTTCTATGTGTGTTCACTTGATCGAAATAATCTCGTTACTTTAGAGTGACTTTTTGAAAGGATCTCGTTAAAAAAGCAACGTTTGCAGCAATATTCAGCTGTCCATTTTAGGAACACCCAGTATGCCCTCCTAATTCCAAACCGAGGGATTCTTAATGAATTTTTGCGTTGAAGAGAAGCAACACGATAATACGGTCAGATAGATAATTGGGGTAGATCGAGCCTGGCGCGTACACTACGACTTGATTCGCCGTGGCACGCCCATGCTTGGCAGAAATTTCATTTGCCCTCTCGTTTTTTTTTCTTCTTCTTTTATCTGAGAGATCTTGAACGATGCTTCGCGACAGAACGACCCTACTTTTACTGAGAACGGGTAACTTGTCACTGCGAAGCTCTTTTTTTTGTTAACGTTGATGTTCATAAGTACGCTTGTCCCATCTTTAAAGACATTTCATTCTTATCACTGATCGAAACTCTTAATTTTATTGTTCATTAATAATAATGTTATGTTTACGAACAATAAATCAGTAATGTAATTCAGATTTAATCTAAAATGAGAAAGTGTTCGTGAGCGTGAATCTCTTAGAATCTGTTTCAATTAATGAAATTAATGAAAGTTCAAGGTGTTATCATAGAATTTTTGAATCTGTTTCTAAACGTTTGCAACAAACTGTCCCACCGTCGCAGCGTTGTAGAATTTGGTGGTCGAATGTTAAAGTAAAGAAATAAGAAAGTGAAAAAGAGGTGCCGGTTTTGTTGCCAATTATCGGCTGGGTGCCAGAAAACAGAGGTAAAAACCATCGTCGAGAAAGGCGCTGGAGCTCGCAACTAAGGTTCCATCAGAATTGTTGAAAGGTCGAACGAAACGCATTTATCGTGCGAAATTACATCGTTGATACCTCGTTGCTTGTTGGCCGGGTGTCAAAATACACTGTGGCTTGCCTAAGGACAGAAAATAAAAATGAGCAACGAGTCAGCATCCTCGAGATTCCTTGTTCCTTCGTACTACGTGCTTCGAATCGATAAAAAGTATACCTAGTATCCCGATTCAAAAATATTTCAAATTAGGTAATTAGGTCTTTTTTAGCTAATAGATTGTGAATTTCGAATCGTTCGTACCTGTTCTGATAGAATTCCTGAAAATTTCTAACGAATCACATTTTTATTGTTCGATCTACAAGCAATAAAAATGTCTTCTTAAATAATCATCCGCGTTATTTAATATGAATAGAAAATTAGACCACAAGTCAATTCTGAATGTGTTATCCATCGAGATGAAAAAAAGATTGTGTAAGTTGTTATTGGCCGTATCTAATGGCGGGTCTAATTTAGCATCTTTTCGGCAACCACGAAGGGTTCTTAATGACTTTGACCAGGGTGCAACAATTTTTCAGCTGGACCGGTTGACAGACCGCGACAAAAGTGTCTTTTTCGTGCAGCTGCAGCCGTCCGCCACAGTATCTAAGAAAAGATATTATTTTTGAAAAATGCCTTTCTTTTAATGTTATGAAAATATCTAAGTAATTTATGACATAAAGAATAGACATTTTATTTCACCGTAGAAAGGTTAATCATCCCCCGTTAAGAATCATGATTCTTAATTAGAATGTAATTTACAATTGTTCTACTATCAAAGGATTAATATTCTTTCGAAAGAATGTGTTTCAAAAATAACCATAAGAACGACTACGAAAATTACTTCCGTGGTAAAAAGAAGGAATGTGAAAGAGTAGCGCGTGAAACCTTATGGCAGCCGGAATTAATGAGCAGCAACAGTACCCGAGCAAAACCAAAGTTCAGATTACATAGTCGAGTAATAATGATTGATGCACCCTGAGAATTAACTACTAGCTCGTCATATAACCAACCACGCGGATTTCTTGTAATTCGCTCCATTTCCTTGCGCTATCGTTTCTATTATAATTGCTCTGTAACCTTGAAGGAATTAAACAGCGTTTATAGCACCGAATGCAATCAATTCCTTTATCCAACAATCCTTCTATCGTGTGCGATCGAGCAACGGTCGATTACACGTGTAATAATAAGTTGAAAATATAAAATAAAATTTTTTCCTATATTGCTTCGTTTCCGAGATAATGAAATTTGAACGTTTCGCTTTTTTTCATTTTGTATCGAGGATGAAGTATCTTGTCAAAAATTCACAAACTTTTATTCTTTCATTGAATGCAGCTGACACGTAAATTGGGGTTGGGAACTTTACTACCACCGGATAATTTGCACCGAGGAAGGGTTTAGGAAACAATTTCGAATGTATGTATAACAAAGTTGCAAAATATGGGGAGGCCGAAGTACCGCCCATTATTGGCACCTGCTCGGGTAATAAAGCAATTGCTGGTGATTATCGAAATTCATGTTTCGCACAGTTATGCCCCGAGCTAAGCTTTCCACGAATCCAAAATCTTGGAAACTGAACCATCATCTTTTTTCCTTTTTTCAGGGATTTCATAAAAATATTACAAATTGATTTCGATATCAATTCAAAGTATTACGATTATTTTGTATGCAACGAAACTCAAATTTATGATTATTAATCATTATAAATTAGGTCTTGTAAAGAATTTCTATTACATTATCGCTTTTTTTATTGTAACCGCATCATACATTAATATCGAGCAGAAAATTGAAAAAGATGGATGTGCCCGGTTCACTCGTCAAAGTCTTAAATAGTTGACCCTCCATTGTACACCCATAGAGGAAACGATGAGTGCTACGTGGAAATGGTCGTTGTTGGCTCGAACGTCGATCATTCGTCGGATTACGCATGTCCTAGCAGCTGCGCATCCTTCCTGGGCGTTCCAAACTGCCACCAATCGGTGAAACCCTCTAATATCAAGCATCCGGTGAAACAACCAATAGGGACAGCCCGTTGTATCAGCGAGGGTGTCATCCACCAGTTGGACTACGCGATATTATCATTCCCGTTCGACGAGAGAGTAAGAGGAATTGAAATGTAAGAGAAGGAGAGAATTGAAGAAGGGTTGTGGTCATCGATCCTGGCAAGTGTCTGGGAATCGACACTACCCCTCGGGCATCGATCTGGATGCTAAGCTTACTGGCTGATGGGGTAAGCAAGCGGAAAAGCATAAGCTCGAAGTAACAATTTAATCCTTCTCTCCGTATCCGTTCGCTCCAACTTGCTAATCCTTCGAATAGTTCCTGCAGGATCTGTGGAGAACGATATTGAGCTGAATTCTCGATAGAATTACAATCCATGGAATAGTAAAAAATTAGACATTTCATTATAATATATAAACCATTATCGACAGACAGAGATGATCATCGTGAAAGACTTAATATAGATTGTCAAATTTCGTCGTTTATTTTTTTTTTTTTAAATCAACCCTTATTTTTTTCTGTCGAGTAGATGGTACGATAGGCGAACCCAGCCATCAGAAGTTAAAATTTTTCGAACAGTCCACAGAAGAGGCGTTCCAATACACCGATAAAAAAGCAAGCTGCACGATGATAAAGCTTCAAGATAGATTAAGTCGTAGGGACTCGTTTGCGAATCTTTTACTAACTTACGTATGGTAATCGTACCGCCCTGATTGTTTCATCAAAATCGCACGAACACCTTGCACCAGGACTTTCTTCTCTTTTTTTATTTACTCGATTTCTCTGCACGTCACGATTCTCTCTAGTTTCGGGCGAGTTCGTTTGCAAAATTAACGTTTGATCACGGCAGTCCCGTGAAATTCTCCTGGCCATAAAAAAATTGACTCCGAGAGCGTAAAAAATAATAGGAAACCCCAGGGTCCTAATATCGTTTGGTGGTTACTCGAAGCAGCAGCTGCATGTTTTCGACAAAATTGCCGTCGATGAAATTGCATCGAGAAAATAGGAGTCTTTCTTACAAGACTATCCTCCCCTTCTTCTTCTTCTTCTACTTCTATTTTCTTCTTTCCATTCTTCTTATTCTTTTGCTCCCTTTTCTTCTTAAGTAGCCGATAGTTCTAACCGGTTTTTATTTGCAGGTCGTATCCTTTTATTCTTGTTCCGCTGTTGTCCTATTCTTTCTTTTTCGATGCATCCTCGAGCAGGATACTTTTTCACGCCTGCTCGAATAGAACGAATCGTTTGCAAATTGACCTAAACCAGGTCAGTTTTACTACACGCGCCTGTTCGATACGAGAAAGCAAATTGAGCCATCTTGATGTCTGTTTCGTCGAATAGAATTGAATGGAGAAAATTCCATTGCAATTATCGTTTTCCTAATTATACCGATATCCTTCTTATTGTACCCAAGCCAATACGGATGTATAAAATAACTATGTAATAAAAATAAAATTATTTAATTCTAAAAATAGTAACGGTCAGGAAATGACGAGGGTGTTGTGCGAATTTGAAAGGCGGGCCAACGTGGATTAACCCTCAAAATTGTTCACCTGTCCTTATTTCCGCGATGAGACACGGTTACGAAAGGCAGGACACAAACGTTCTCTTGTAATCTTACCGGTGTCCCCTGGCGACTCGCACAGGGCATAGATTAATCTATTCGAACCAGCTGATCCTCGTCTCGTTAGAGGTTGTTCCGCTGTTATTACAAGCCTACCCTTCGGTTGCCGATGCGTACGATCTGATAAAAACACACCACGCAATTTTTACCCTAGCTTCAACTACACTCCACTTTACGTGGGAATCGTTGGTCAAATTTGGAAACGATAAAACCTCGTTTTGACGATGTCAAAATTCGTTGGTACTCGATTAAACATTTTATTCAATTGTTCATGCGAAGCTGGTAACTGTGCAGTGTAATCGAAATATTTAAAGCTGAAACTGGAACACGAAGTTCAGAACTCGTCATCAGGCATACCACCTCGTTTGGGTGAACCGCAACGTGTTGGTAAGATCGGTGATGATCCGTGAAGAAGCGCAACCTGCACCGGTAAAAGGACAAAAGGAAAAGAGACGGGTTTTGTGGTCTATCAGTCAAAAGTCGAGAACTCCGACAATTGCTCTATAGGGGGTCGTTACTGGCGCCAAGGGTACACCCAGCCTGTTTGTTCTCTTGTTTATTTGTCATCGAGCCACCGATCCATTAAATAACACCATACGCCGGATAAGAATTATGGACATCGTTAAGGTTCGTCGAGCGTGTTCCTCTGGCAAATGGTGTAAACGGTTTTGTAAATCTCTATACTCACGGTGCAACGTAGATTTTCTTCTTCAACGAAGAACATAATTATATTTTATGCAATCTCATTAGCATATCTACAACTAAATCTCTCGACTGAACTGTTTCGAAAACCATCGAGAAAGCTCGGCAAACTAATAGAACAAGTTAAACTGTTCAATAGTAAATTTATCGGGGTATCACAGGTAAAAATGTCCGTCTGTGTACGCACCTGTTCGCGTAGAATAATTTAGAAGGTGGCATGCCTTTGGTAAAAGCTCGACCAGGCACGATGGGTATCAAAAGGCCAGGAGACGAAAGTTATCGCGATAACCGGCCAGATAGAGAACGGCCAAGAACCATCGAGCCGATTTTTATCTTCTAAATCGTCCCTTCGAGGCAGCCTCTGATGTCTTGCGGTTGAAAAACGGTAGCGACCATGCTAAAGAGAGTAACAGACTCGCGATCGAGCCGTTTTCAACCTAGTGACTTATTGCGCGCGTGTCTATGTGGCACGCTGCGTTGCCTTTTTATCGAATCCATCGAACGGCTTTAATTACCGCCGGTTATAAATTTCTTTGCGACGTCCTGCCGCTTTTCTATCGGATCTCTACGGCCCTTCTTCAGGAATTCAGCCTTTGACGTCTCGTTTAACGCTGACGGGCGGTCTTGAGAAAGATGTTTGTGGTTTTAAAGGTATTTCCTAGAGAGGTCACTAGAATTTCAATGATTTATATCTCACTTGATCTTATTGAGTTTATTGTCACCTACTAATAGACTTTACTCAAGTGCCAGTAAAAGGCAGTACCAAATAGATCATCAGAAATCACGATTAAACGCTTTTTATCCGTTCGCGTGTAACGAACCAAATGAGTCATCAAAGAAACCATAGGACAAAGAAGGGCAAAACTCGAGGAATGCAAAAACGGACGGTTTAATGTTCACGCATGTGCCGACAAATTATTATTTCCGTGTCTGGATGACTGATGGATTCTTTCGGATCGCAGCACCGACCTTCGTGATCAAAAGCAACCCGACGATTCGCGGACACGCGTCCACCGTTTAACCCACAAGGTTTAATTCGATGGTCCAGCCAGAAAATATCGGTTCCAGGTTCTATATAATTGTACTGTTGCGCAAGAATCCAGAAAACGTTGGATCGTTCGCTTCAAGGATAAAAGTCGCAATCGCGCATCTTCGATTTTCCTGGAACACACAGGAGGATCGTCTTCGTGGAGCGTACTCGCGTGCCGCGACTGGAACGATTACATCTACCTCAAACGTTAAATGGTATTACACAACTCTGAAATTCAGTTTTCGAATAATTTCTAGCAGCCTCTCACAATTGCTGGAGCCATAATTCCTGCTGGACGAAACCGTCCTTTCCTTCTGTTGACGTGACCTAAATTTAAAGTTAAAAATTTAATTTTACAAAATTCTAGATCAGTTTATTCTGTAACGCCATACAGTTACAATTTGATCGAATAAAATAGAAATGGCGAATCAAAGTCGCGTGAGCGTGAAGAAAAGTTTTCAGGCGTTAAAAAACTTTCGACATGCCGCAATACGTCCACTCTTAGAAAGTATAATTGTCACGCACGAAATCATGGATGTACATATGTACGTAAAAATAAAGACCGTTGAAAAATAAAGGAAAAGAAAGCATGCTTGCGTTCTGAATCGCAAACGCGAAGGCACGAAAGTAATTGTCGTGGTATGAGACGAAGAAATTAATTGATCGCCAGATTGCAGTTCGGTTAATTTCAGCGGGTTTGAAGGAAAATTTTCATCGTAAAGTTTTCAAAGGTAAGTGCAATTCTGCAACTTCAATGCAAACGAAATTAAGCCATTTCAAGTTAAGATTTTATTATCTATAACACGATTCTTTACAATCAAATTCCTCTTATACCTTCAATATTGTTACTTGCATTACAATTTTTAGTTTTTCTATTATTTGATACGTTCTTCAATATTTCAGAGCTGAAATTCCCAAGGAACCCTAGGTAATTATGAACGAATAAATGATAATACTTATCAGTATTAAAAAAAATATAGATTTAAAATGTTCCGAGTGCCGATTCTCCTAATGTTAAGAAAGGGAAAATTGAATTGATGGAGAGAGGGTTATCAGTTCGGAAGAGGCCACATCCGTGGGCAAGATGGGCCATAGGGGCAGCCCCGACCCAACGTTCAGCACGCGACTCCACGCTACCGTCACCTTCTCCCCTCTTCAACAACCCGGCCAGGACTCGCTCGTTCCACGCATACGTAGGCGTTTCTGCATGAACAGGCATCAGGAGCGAAGCGTGGATCGCTCGTGGCACCATAGTACGGGGGGAGAGACCGAAACGAAAGCAAAGCCCGTAACCCCCGTTCAGACACATCCTGTCCTCCGCATCGTTCACATCAGTTGGTCCTGGTCATCATCAGTTTCTTCTCTTCCTCACCCTTCTCGCTTTTCTCTTCGACCTTTTGCTACCTGTTCGTCTCCGTTCCTCCTCTTATTCCCCTCTTCATTCTCATTCCATCTCCCTCTCCTACCTCTTCTCTACATCTATCTTTGTTCGACTTATTCCGCTTCTTGCCTGCTGTTTTCACTCCCTCCTTCCGCGACGCGTTCAGCGGCCAACCGCAGTCGTCCAGCGCGGACCTGCCACTCCGACGGCTACCAGGAGTAGCTGCACGCGCGCACGAGGTGCCCGGAGGAGGTCCAGGAAGACACGCCGAGCCGAGCGGTACCCACTGACACCGTGTGAAGTGAAGTTAAACGGTTCCAGTATGATCTCGCGAGCCTAGTTGAACATTCGAAGCGATCATTACTGAAAATTCAACGGTATGCTAATCGAAGATTCGACGCGGTGCCAGGTGAACATTCCACGGGAGTTTCGCTAAAGATTCTAGATGAACGTTGCTGAAAATCCCATGCGATGATAGCTGAAGATTCTACGCGATCTTAGCTGAAAAATTGTACGGGCTCTTAATTGGAAATTTTATGAAATTGTAGCTGAAAATTTCGAACAATGCTAGCTGAAAATTGTACACCATCATGTTGATGATTTCATGCAATGTTAGTTGAAAATTCTGCGCGATCCTGCGTCCACACAGAGGATTTCTTTCGATGACAGCCGAGATTTTCGGCGGAAAAGGAGGACCACCATCGGTGAGATTGATCGATACCCATGGACATTATTGGTTTATGATCAATCGGAAGTGGCGGAGATATTAGTGAATCCCTCGATGATAAATTTTTGAATCTTGACTTTCAATGCTGATAAGACTGTGTTGGTGTTTCGAATGATCTTCTGCAGTCGATCTTTAAGATTTTCTTGTAAACGTCTGAAACGAATGATGAAGAATAGAAGAGAAATGACACGATGATACCTAGAATAATCTACCTAAAATATCTACGTTGAACGTGACATTTAATGAATGTACTATGAACGAATCACGCTGATCAGTCATTGAAGATCTGTTTTTTGACAGCGCATTCGAGAGAAACTTCTCGTGACTGTCATACATACATCGTGGGTGTATCATTACAGAGTCGGGTTTCTCCTCGGACATCACCGTTGAAGCAGAATCCTGTAAAAGTGTCACGGGAGATCGTGTCTAGCTCGCGAAAAATATGGTGTCGTTAGAGATTAAATGGACTGCTGGTTAGAAGAGCTTTGAAGAGTTTTCCTGACTGGTTTCAAAAACGAGAGGAATCTACGAGTAGAGGATCGACTTCTGCTGGGAGAAAAATCAACAGGTATGTAAACTATTCTTATTTTCTAAAATATCCTATTCACTATTTTTATTTTTATTTTTCAAGGAAATCGATGAAATGTTTTTCCTTTTAAGCAAAGTTAAAAGTTAGAATGTCCTGTGCGCTTTGTAGGGATCTAGTTTCGTTTATTTATACTAACTACTTTTGGGATAATTTTCTAATTTTTTTCTAATTGTTTGAAATGTTAGTTAAGATAATAATTTACAATGTGACTTTTAAAGTAGATTATGAGGTTCTGGGATATAAAAGTTTTCGAATGACCTAATTGACGATCAGTACTATCATTCAGAATTGAACAAATACATTACTATTCATATCAAAGCATAAACATTCACGCGTAAACGTAGTCAAATGAACCATGAAGTCAACTCTTTTCCCCCATGGTTCGGAGAGGGCCGAAATGAGGGGTATCATCGTCCGGCCGTATGCGTGTCAATGACATAACACGAAAATCAGCGGCGCTAATTACGCGATAACGATCCACCGTTAAGAGTCTGAACCGGAGGAGGATCGTGTGCCGGTTTTTTTTCGTTGGTGAAAAAAAAGAAAGGTAGAACGCGAACATGAACGATCGAACAAGCCTCGAGTGTGTTCAAAGAAGAAAACCGTAGAAAGGAATATGCATTATCGGTCAAAAGTATGAGACTATCTATCTATATAAAATCAATTTTTTTTTATATATAATGATTTTATTCGAAGAATTAGATCTTCATTTAACAAGTACCACATTTTTTAAAATTTACTTCTAAATGACAAAAACACTATTTTTTATGAAAATTTGTCGATAAGGAGATAAACAATCGATTGTTGCAAGTAGCCTTACAAGGAATAATTCATTTCGATAAATTAATCGAGTAGATGAATTCGAAATATTAATTCTTTATAGTCGACTTTATTAATAAAACAAAAGACGTATCATTACTTTAAAAACTGTAAATAGAAAAATTATCCTATATGCCTATATGACGAGTATGATGAACGTAATTTTAAATAAGATGACTTTATACTTTTGGCAGGCAGTGTACGTACACTTAATACACAACAATCACACGCGCGCACGTTTGTGTGTGTGTATTTGTATACACGTTTATTCGGTTTGAATATACGCGATAAATATTAAAGTTCCTTATAAAACACAAAGTTCTGCCGCTCTGGCGCTGGCCGGCGCACCGGGGGCCTCTGACACGCCATTGCTTCATTTAAAATGCAAATTCGTCCGTGTGGCGTGAACCACAGCGGCCCGAATTATTCTAATTACCCCCCGCCAATCCACTGGCCACCGTTTTTACTCGTTGCTTCGCGTCGCGCTCTCGAAAGCTCACCGGCTTCGTCGCCCTAAAAAAAAAAAGATCGAAATTTTACTAAATTTCTGCCGTGTAAACGGCGACACGAACTTCCTCTTAACCTTGAATATCAAAAATGTAATTTTTTAATTCTGTAAAACCACGCAGTGAAATTAATACCTAATTCTTTGGATGAAAATAATCTAGACTCTTGACTGTAAGAACCAAATTTTCGAATATCTATATCATAATATTAGATAGATCTTGGTGATTCGAATAATTATTAATTACATGGAATTTCAATTTCTCCATAAAATTATAAGAATGAGATAAAGATTTGTCTTTAATTTCAGTGAGTGTATTAAAAAGTTAAGCTGAATTGTTAAATTAATCAGAGGATTCTGAAGAATACTCAAAAGATAGAAATTATTGAAAATTGAATGAGGGAAGAAGGTAGGCAGCCGGTAGTCACTGCCAGTTTATACGCAGAAACGTGTTAAAGTGTGCTAGAAACGAGCATAGATTATCGTGGGTAACGTGTTCACGATCCGACCGAGATGTCGTGTGCATGTAGGCCTAATATATTCAGATTTTTATGGCTGGTGGCATATCGGAGATACGGAGGTCCACCTCCTCCCCCTTGCCACCCCTTCGGTGTGCTAGGCTGTGTCGGGCAAGCCTTCTCCACGTACCACTTAAAGCACGGGGTAACCTAATGAATAAACAAAAACTAGATTTCGCTTAGGGCTTACACGTAAAAGCGTGACCTTACTGACGATTTACCGCTGCGGTTCTCAAACCAAACCTCCTTTTCCAGAAGATAGAAAACAAGATGGAAAGGCCTTACGTAGATTCATGATTTAAATTAGTGAACGAAGACGTGGTTTTTAATATATTTTCAAGATACTTTATATCCATGAATCTGTATGTCGTTACTGGGAAATCTGTTTGAAGATTCAAAGTGGTATCCTTTCACGTTTTTGTGGGGCCGAGAATTTCTTTGGTAGTTTTTGTGATTCCATGTGAAATTGCGATTACACGGGTCGTAAGGAGTTATGAGTCTTGTTTCTTGCCCCTTTCATGGCAACCTGGTATGGTTTCATTGAGCGAAAGATTGTTATTGATGCAACCTTTCTTTGTAGATTTCAAAGTAGATTAATTAATGAAAATAAACTAAAGAGTATGTCATTTTGTCATAGTGTATATATGAATTAAATTTAATTAAATGATAAGCTAATAAAAAATATATAATTCAACAGATAATTTAGTATAGGTATGTATTTGGGAAAAGAAAATTGGCCAAAAGGCTAAACAATTTTCTGTAGAGCTGAGTACTGTCTTACGCAGGCATTGATGTCACTCTATTCATACGACACCGCGACGTCCTATTCTTCTAAAACGCTATAGTAATTCGTTTTAAATTTCATATTATCAGGAATATACGTCTAATACAATCTAATACAATTTCAAACAAATAAGCTAAAGATAAAGCAATCTTATCACATTATTAACAAAAAAAATTTCTTTTCTTAAAACTACGGTCAGTTATTGAAATTTTACTGTTTCCAATTTAAATGTCCCTGTTTCATCGATTTTAAGCTAGTCTTCTTTTTAAAATGATCCTTCGATCCTCGAGTACGACTTTCGCCGTAATTGAAACATCGTGAAAACATAGCGTGGCCAAAAGAAATTACCAACGGCCTGCTACGAAAGAGAAAAATTCAGCGTGTCGAGAGCGTTCGGTTCGTACATCACTTTTGCACGTACCGCGAAGACGAGGGAAGGACAAGATGAAGAAAGAAATAAAGCGGGAAGGCAGAACACGTGTTCGCAAGAGTAACACCGGCAAAACACGTGGCGCGCGAGAAATGCGGGGAACGATCCTCGTAGCCGGTCCTGTTTGATTTATAATAATCGTTCAATCCTCATTACCAAGATATTTTATTGTGGACCTTGCCGGACAAGGAAATCGACCACGTGATTTCTGATAATCACTTGTGAAAAAACTTCGCACTGCAATCTTTTCCGTAACACCTGTTTACGAAATATTGATAAAGCTAATAAGTAGTGTTGCTTAACTGTTTCTAATTAACTTCGCTCTATTTATCTTTACTCTCATTGCCAGTGGAAATAGTTATCTCGGAACTTCACAAAATTCGTAAGTGATAGAAATCCTGAAATTTGGATTCTTTCAATCAAATTTTCACACGGTGTAAATAATATATAAAACATTCTTGGATCGAGGTGAAAGATTCTCACGGAAGTTTTACAATAAAAATTGGTCTAATTAAAGCAACTTGAGCCATTTGTATCCAGTGCTTTTTGCGAGCGGTCTCGCAGTATCATCAAGCGAATAAAAGAGAACTGCATTTCGTGCAACTGAGAACCGTGCCTTTAACGAGTATCGCTTGACACCTTGAAATCGCTTCGTGATGGAATTTTAGTATCCGCGAACTTTACAAACTCCATATACGTAGAATCGAGTTTTTTCGAAGGTGATCTGCGACGCCATAATAACTTTGCACCGTCAATTTTCCAGGTCTTTGCACAGGATACAGATAAAAATACTTGGCTCATTTCTTGTGTAATTTCTGCACCCGTATACGACATATTCTCCGTCATCTTGAATTTTCATTGGTAACACATGATACCTATATAAGTACCTACTTTGTTATTTTAAATCTTTAAATAGAATGTAAATTTTTCTCTTAACAACATTCTTTTATTGATTAATTTTCAATTGTAGCTGTAATATACAGACCTTACCTTAATAATCGTTTAATTACCTTCTCAAATCATTAAACTTACAACGTTCGGGTTGTACCAACTACGCCCACATTCGATGGTTCGAGCGAATAAGACACGCAGGGAGATCCTCCTTGAAGGTTTTCGCAACAAATCAATCAGAAGGGGGATGAAAAAAAAAGCACGAAGCCGTGGAATAATTCCGTCGATATAAGCGTGCAGCCGCGTAACGTGTAATAGTTACATCAGATTAGAGGCAATGGTAGCGAGCGTGTAAGCAGGCTTAATGCGTGGGTAGGCATCGAGTTTGTGGTTGAGGTGTTCGTTGCACGTGAATACACCTGAAATCGTGGTACACCGGCACAAACACAGGTTTACCGGTAGCCGGTGGAGACCTCGACACGAAACAGGCGAGGGTAACGACGAGAACGGGAGCGACAAGGGGTACAGGGGTTGCCTTTGGTAATCGCGCATTAATTTGCATCAGAAAGTACACGCCACCCGCCACGCTACGCACGCATTCCACGTAGTTTTCCGCTCCAACTCGATCTTCCGAGAGTTCTCAAGTCGTCGCGACGCGTCGCGTTTCCACCTTACGATATCCTGGATAGATCGGTGGATTTTTGTCCATGGAAATGACCTAGAGCTACTGAAAACTTAGAATAGTCAATTATGAAACAAAATCGAAGAAGACTTGATGATATAAAAATCTTGTTGAAATGAGACACTTGATTTATCAATCAAAAATAAGAATTCTAATTTATTCTACATTCTACGCCATTGAGAATTTGATCAATTGATAAATTTATTTTTAAAGCGTAAAATCAATTCAATATAAATTGTTTGGCCGCCACGAAAATTGCATCGGATTACACACACCTTTACACCTTGGTTGCTTGATCAAGCCGATAACTTGGTTTGTCGTTGCGCGAAATTATCAATACGTGAGTCGACTGTAAAATTCAGTAGGAAGGAGAAGGGGCATTAATTTATCTGCAATTATGTTATTTTCACGGAATGAGAATCACGGCCCGCTAGCGGTAATATTTTGCCGCGTGGTACGGTTGCATATTTAAGGGTTGCCATGTCAAGCGTCAAGCGCGCCCTTTGAATACATTTAAATTCATTAACAGTAAAGGCTATGTTCCCGTAAACCTTGCCATACTCTACACGTACGAACCTTCATACGAGTACACACGAATAGAAAATATCGACATAGTTACACGCTAAACAGAGCATTGTGGTCGTAACAATTTGATACGAGTAACAAGAAATCGATTAACAATTGCAATCATCTATATTCGCTAACGAAACAACGTGATTTTTGTTACAGATCTGTCACGGGGAATCTCTGGATCAATATGCCTCATACAGGTAAGTTCGACGATAAATAGATATTAAAATATTTTAACCAAGCTTGATAGAAAATTTGGTTTTTTGATTTGACAACAAAATTCCTTATTGCGACTAAAATTGCATGGAAATAAAAATATTTATTGAGTTTGTTAATTTTACACCTTTCGACAGAGACGTAAAAAAAGGGTTAAATTCTTCCACAGATAGAAATATGTTAAAATTCAGTCTTGACGTAAACAGAATTTCAAACCTTGTTTCTGATATATACAAGTAAAAACTATTAGTTAGCAGACGTATTAGCCTCACTAATACAACAGTGTCTAGCAGATACTCGTACAGGGTCTCTGATTTATGCAACGACATGGAGTAGCTCGTCGTTATCGTTTCTCGGACATTTAGCACGAGGTCGGCTACCGTCGGCAAGATCAGAAGACCAGTCGTTCGACGGTAAAAATTAAAATCACTCCCTTCTTCTTCTTCTTCTTCTTCTTTTTATTTTCCTTCTTCTTCTCCTCCCGTCTCGTCTCGCTTTCTCACGAGGTTGTTACATTTGCCGATCGCGAAGTCGTCTCTGCAAGAAGCGTATCCGTTCACGAGCGATTGGCTCCAAGCATTGGTTAAATTACGATTTGGAAGGCAGTTTGACAGTAATTAACAAAGAATTTTATACGTCGCATGAACATGTTATTAAACGGCTTTATTTATATCTCACTGCCCTGCCTTCTCTTCCGCTTCTCCTTTCTCATTTTTCTTCATCTAACGCCACCATGAATCTCCAACGAGTCTCTAACAATTATTTTGAATATTGTACTCAAAAACTGATTCCTACTTGATATTAACAACCCACTTCATTCTCGAAATTTTCAAGAACGACGTAACCGACGCGACGTGGTCGAAATGGAAAAGTCGAAAAATCGGACTCATTAGCGAGTGAATTAGTAATTAACCCAGTACACCTTGAAACGGCAGATTTATAGGGGTAAATATGATTTCAATTACGATTAAATGTGACTTAAAATTGACGTTACAGTTGATTCAGATTTCCTTCGTATACAAAGAAACATTTACAAAATCTGTTAACGTAGACGTGATTACAGGTAGACAGGTGTACAGTTTGGTTAGGGTCTAAATTGTGAACACGATAGCGATCACCTTGGTTCGCTAATTCTAAGCTAACCATTATCATGTATCCAAAGATACACCCTTGCTGATCCTGGACGTACCGTCGCGTCGCATAAATATTCTTTTTTTTATCTTAGCTAGTTTATGGCTTATACGAGGTTACGTGTTGGAATGCATCAACGAGATGTCAGGTGTTTTTCTTATTCTTTTAGCTGGCAATGATAACTGGCACGGTAAATTTATTTCAATTATGTCTATAAAATAACGATAAGATGTAGTAGTAAAATGAATAATTAAATTGAAAAATTAGTGCATTTGCCACTAATGAGGGTAACTATACTGTAGTCACTCGCCACTATTCTCTATACATACATAAATTAACGATAAGGGTAATTATTTTTGTTTAATTTTCAATCTTTCACTTGAATGAAAATCATGTTTATCCAAATTAAATGTGACATCGATGTTCTTTCGATCATCAAAGCTGTTGAACGATCTTTACGCTCGATAAATTCACAGCTTGACAGTGGAGGAGTGAAAACCCACGGGAATCTGACATTTATTCGCGCAATTTCGCGTTTCGCCGGCTGATTTTTATAAAGATAAGAACAACTTCCTGCTCGGTTTTTGCCGTAATAATAATTTGGCCCGCGGTCGTGTCGGTCTGTCGCTTTTCTGACCGCGTGTAATTTCGGACGATCTTCAGTGTCTGAAACAGGAAGCGACACTCTTTTTATCGTGTAGAACGAAAATTAAAGGGGAGTGCAGAGTGTAAAAAAAAAAAAAAAAAGGAAAAGGAATACGGTGAGGAGAAGGAAAAGAGGACACATAAGACGGGATTTTTAAGGAGGTGAAATAATAATTGGCGATAAAACCGAATAAATCGTTACCAAGCTGTCGGATATCGTCGATGAATAACGAGGGATCGACACGCGAGAATCTCTCCCCTTTTGGATGTAATTTCCCTCGTAATAACGTGTCGAAAAAGTTTGTCGCAGCCGTTTTGAAGACAGCTTTTAAATCATCCGACTGACAGTACTATCGAGCATCGTATACGCGTTTCTTTTATTACCGTCAATTTTCTTTCTTGCTTTTATTCTTGACCGTTCGATATGTAGAACGAGAAAGTTACAGAATGTATAATTTACATAAGTGTGATAAATTAAACAGCATTTTTGGTATTTCGCCAGTTTCGTATTGGGCAGCGTGAGATTTTTATGCATTAACCGGGTATAAACCGAGCTTCAAATATTTTAAATCATTTTGTTTCTGTTGGTTTTCGGAACACGATGATCATTGATTTTTAATGGTAATTTTTTTTAATGTATTACAGGCACTTTTTTTAATGCGAAAGATTAATAACTTCATTTAAATACTTATACACATTTTAATTTGCATCTTCCAAATATTATTAAATCCCCGAAAAACTAAAAAACGGAAAAAATTCGAAAATTTGCTTAAATTACTATCTGAAAAATTTCTCTTTCGTCAAAATAAGTCTACAATTATCCAATCAAATATCGCTTAATTCATCGTGCTTTAGAGCCTCGGTATAAAAGCAGAAGTCGTTTCGTGTATCCCAATGAAATATTTTATTGCTGCTTCATTTGAAACGCAAACGACAGAAAGCCACGTGCAACAAAACCAAATGGAGCAGCATTCGAGCGTTGATTACATGAAATTTCCATGAAATTTCGGAGTCTGGTAATAATTATGCCGTTAAGTAATAATCGGCTACCGAAACGATCCGAAAATTAGGGAGGCCCGGTATAGCACCGAAGATTTATGAAGAATCTTATAATATCTCCGAACTTTGGACATTTTTCCATATTTTCAGTGTTGATCGAGCAACATTCATTCAAAGCCGAGGTCGCAGAAAGCGAGGTACATAACTCAAATTTTATTCCTGTATGGTTTAATGCCTGTTTTCAACGAACGGATATAAAATCATTGATCGATTGACGTTTTTATTTCGAGCATCATGATTTTACGATACTCTGCGCGACGATGTTCTCTCACATTCTCTTGGTGAAAATATTGCTATGTTTTCAAAATACAGATATTAATCAATCCTATTTATGATTAAGAAATCAATGAAAGTTTACAAATTTTGTTGATTTGCTTCGAAAATTTAGAAATTTTTGCATTGAGTCGAAACCATTACCTATGCAGAAAAATATTTAGGAATGGTTTGATGAAAATATAGGAAAAATGTAGAATATGATGAAACTAACAGTTTTTATTATTTTTTAGTTAATTTCTGCGGCATATAATAAAAATTCTTTTCATAGAAGATATCAATTTTATTCATCGAATACTCTAAACAGCTGCATGCTTAATCAATCCACGAAAGTTAATCGAATTTTTATCTACGTTGTCATCTTATGATAATTTTTATCGACCGAACCTGACCATATCCACTTAAGAAGATTTAATTTCCTCCTCTTCTATTCTAATTTGATGAATTCAACTAAATAACCAAGCTTATAAAGAGATAAAAAAGAAACGATTCGTGATTGAACGACATCAAAAGTCTCTTTGGTATTTGTTAATTTATATTCTTAAACTAGTACTAAATGTCATCAACATCGATTTATTTATTAGCAATTATTAGCAACTAATCAGAGTTCCTGTTTAAAACATCTTGCTTTGTACTTATGTAAAAGTATTTTACGACAGATGGTCTGGAAATTAATCCAGTACATCTAAGTTAATTCGTCTCACGTATATGTACAGGAAATTGGATATATCTATGCTAATAGAATAGATTAGCATTAAATCACTGATAAGCCCGTTTATAAAAATTTCTAGATAATTTAGGAAACAAACACCTTTACCATTTACATAGTTTTCAGCTTGCTTTTTATATGACTTGCCTTAATTTATTAACATACCTCTTAAATAATGCAAGATTTGTCCACTTTGTGTTTGTAAAAAACAAAATTATTTTTAATTAATATTCTGCATTCTGAGCGTGATTCTTCAGACTTACCTTAAATTTTTAATTTTCGACTTTCGAGTCTCAACATTTCTCACCGAAGAACAGGAATTAAAAACTCTTCAAAATTTCTACATTTTTCACAATGCACTTTCATCATACATTTTATAGTTCTTCAGAGTACCATAATCAACCACATGGTAATAATTGATATTAATCCAAAAAATCGAACAAGTAAAAATTATCTTTCGTTGCATCGAGTTGTAGAAGGTGCAACAATGTGGTCGATCTGCTTACCGGGCAATTACCGGATAAAAGGGAGAAAACAATCGAGTCCCCGGTAATTTTATTACTCCTTGAATGCATGAAAAATTGTTAAAAACGGTAATTCAAAGGATCTCTGGAAATTAACGGAAAACAATTTCGATAAACCGTTCCCTTTTTCTATAATACTTCTTTGCCTCGCCTGATGTCCGCTGGCGGAACAGAGGATAATTACACGTCTTCTTTTCCGGCCAACATGGAAGAATGTCAGAAACAGTTCACGAGGACATTCGACTTGCCAATATTATTAAAGACCACGAGAGAAGAGCATTTAGCTTTGACTCCTCCCAAAATTATGTACGCACTATTACTATGATTATTATTAGAGAAACAAATTTCCGTTCTCGATTGTAAGTTTTATTCAAGAGTATACTAATAATTTTATACCTGATGAATTTTTGTGTTCAAGAAAGCTATGCAAGAGCTAAGAACTCATGCATTTGATTATTTTCTGTTGCAGGTCAAGCGGGAGTTAATCAATTGGGTGGTGTCTTTGTTAACGGCAGGCCATTGCCCGATTGTGTTCGACAAAGAATCGTACAACTCGCTTTGGTCGGTGTTAGACCTTGCGATATATCGCGACAACTACTCGTTTCTCACGGATGTGTCTCGAAAATTCTGACAAGATTTTATGAAACAGGAAGCATCCGACCTGGAAGCATCGGGGGAAGCAAAACGAAAGTAAGTTTATAAAATTATCATTAGCTAGTTCAGATAATTAATATTGATTATATAGCAAGATAATATAAGGTAGTGATCCGCAGTTTTGTTAGATATTTTTCACTTCATCATAATATGCTTCAACAACGATTTATGTCGCTTCATTATTAAACCAACAAATTATAATCACCAACTAAAAAATTTATAATAACGTCTCTAAACTTCTCGACAATCCACGTCTAATTAACCAAGATCGTTAAATTTTAATATCCCCCAAAAAGACGAGAAATGCTATAAGAACATCCAAAGAAAAGGGAATTCTAAGAAAACAAATATACTAATGAGGAAAATCGACGCGGCTCATCCTTCCCTACATGAAGTTTACGGTCGCAAGTAGGAAATAATGCTACTTAGGAAATGAAGGAAGGAAGAAAGGAAGGAAGGAAGGAAGTGTGGTTTATGGGGCGGTGACACTGATGAGAGATGCGAAACATGGCAAAAAGCCGTCGAGCCAGAGCGACGCTGATGTGATTTTAAGTAAGGGCTACTCGAGCCGACAGTGTACGCAATTATCCAAACACCTTGCAGCGCAGTTCATTTGCATAATTTCATGACTTTGCGCGGGTTTTCTTACTCTCAGTCTCGCTGTCGCGTAGAATTATCATGGTTCTCAGGTTAAATCCAAAGAAAATAAGAACTTAGCAAAAGATTCAACATTTTTACATTTTACCTTTCTTATACAATCTGGCTTGATGGCACAAGCAAAATTTGACTTCCCTTCGAATTTGTATTTTTATGGCATAAATGAACTAATTTGCCTAAGAAATACAAACCAATATATTTGTCTATAAAGGAAAAAATCGATTACTGCACCTTCAAAATGTTTTACGCCTTCAGAGCAACAGGGTCATTATTCATCTTCTACTTAAAACTGAACTTCACTGAAATAAAAAAGTTCAGTACTTCTTGAAAAACGTTTCCATGATCCGGAGAGTGCTCCTCGATGTTCATTCTCTCCGATGAGCATGAAACAACGAGAAGGAATATTGCGATTTAACGAGTCTGGATGCGAGTGCAACGATACCAGGGTGCCCAGCACGTTCGATAATCAAGGGCCACAAGGTAACAAGGTGGATTATCTTTGTCCAGATGCATCCCACGAAAGCCAGGAACCGACAAAGAGGTACCACTCGTATCTCGCGAGTGTTGTATTACGCGTGTGACGTCACTAATGACAATATAATTGCACGCTGCCTATACGAGGAATTTCTTACGATGAGCCTTGCGCTGGAATACGAGCTGCGATCAGCCGTTTCGGCTTAATGAATTTATTTTAACAACGCCAAGTTGGCGTACATCGACCTCCTCGCTGAATCGTGAGCAGAAGGCTTCTTTAAACCGTTCGCTATAAAACCCTGACGAGCATATTTAAATTCCGACTGTGCACGAGGACGATTACGAGCGCATGTAAACGATCGTCATCAACGGCCATTATTGCACCGTGTTCGTTTTGGTTACGGCAATATGCCAAAATAGTCGAGTAGTTGCCGGTTATATTGTGTTTCTGCGATCTTCCTCGACAGGATGCTTTTAACTATTTCTTGAACGGTAATTGGCATAACATAGAAACGAATGACAAAATATCTTCAGAAACACTTTTAAATCCCAATATAATATAGGTAACTATTACCTTTTTTTTTGTAATTATTGGTACTTAATAATTACTGATACTTTATAATTATTGATACTTAATGATAACATTCTATAACCATTTTGAATGCACCGTGCGTGAAAATGAGTCGTTTCAGAGATTTAATCTCTACTGCTCGAAGGAGTACAAGTCGTTCATATGGCAGACATGTTTCGCATCAACGACTTACGTGAAGCATAAGTATACACGATCCTTGTATAACATAAACCGGTGTCTAATTGCTTATCTCTGGCTGATTCTTTATAAAAATGACACCTATTCTGTTTATAAACAATGTCGCAATACCTACGCAATGTTTAAAAATAGCATTTCATTACAACATTAAAACTGCTGTCTAAAGTGGTTAGTTGCTAGGTTACTCCCTTAATAGAATGATTAATTACTGGGTATTTTCACACAATAAAGACTCCAACTTGTCGGTACTGTTTTATTTAAATAATATTTAAGCCTAGAAATTACTTTCTACACGATCGTGTGTCGATCGAAAGTTTTCACAATGTGTTTGTGACAATTTGCCATGCTCATTATTCTTGACCAATTATTCTCGAATCGATCGGTAAATTTGCGAATTAATTGTCAAACTATCGTCAATCTACACGTGTTCCCGGTACGGTGTATAACGTGTGCCACTATTTTCGTCGTTATCTTTGCCGTGTACATACATCCATTGGATGCTCACAGAAACACGATACGCGTCAGATAATGAACTCGCATCACGACAGAGAAAATTGTCTCATGAAAAATGTACGCCACATCGAAAGTCCGATAATAAAGTGGAAGCCGCGAGAAAATCGCGCGATCATCTGCTTGTACGTGTTCTTTTTCTGTGTTTGTGTAACCACACCAACAATTTTGTAAGTGTCCCTCTCTCTTTGACGGTTCTCCACACCCTGAAATTTATGGAAAGAAATTGTATAACTTTCTTGGAATTACAGTCCCTTCTTGATAAAAGGAATTTCTCGAAGGAATTAATTTCGTTAAGTATAATGCTGTTTGCAACGAGTATGTCATTACACGTTGTAATAAAAGTTTCGCATATTGTATTTGTTGAATATCAAAATTGTATGCTGGTCTACGGTGTTTTATTTAAACACAGGAAATTATACCTTCCAAGAGTGGAATATTTTAAGTGTACGTAAACGTTTATCTTTTTTTTTTTTCAATGCTCTGGTATAATTATTTGAAATTAAAATAAATTCTTATCAATGTGTTTTTGGAAAACATTGCGATAACATGGTATAACAAATTTGCATACTATGTTTTAACAAGTTTTTAATTAAGTTATCATTTTAAAATAGTTATGTGTTAAGCTGTTTCTTATTTATATTATTACAAGTATCAATCTTACAATATCATTCATTTTTTTGATTCTATAAGATCGCTCGATACATTCAACGGATTTCTCTCCAAGAAAATACCATAAATATTCTCGCGTGTGGACATTCGTTTCCTCGGCGATTCCCACTCGTCGATCAGAAGCTTTACTATTTATCTGGTAATTAAGATCTCGCACGAGTACATTGATGAACCGTGCTCGAGCTTTTTGCTCGATGGGTATTTATTTCTCGATGCATGATTCAGTAATAGGCGATAAAACGTCACGGGACAACGAAAACAAACAACGAGCAATCGTGCATCTGTGTTCATCGTGTTTGTACATCAAACTATTAATTAACTTACATAAATAAATATTAACGCTTTGATAATCGCACATTTCGTGTGGTAATAAAAAATTATAACCAGAATTATATTTGAATGTTTCAATTAAGGAGCTCAAAAATTTAGAATAGTTTATTAACACGTTGACTACCGTTCAACCATCTAATTATTACGAATAGGAATTAAGTTAATTTTTAATTTAAATTTTCTCGATCCACAAACGCGAAAATTGAAACGTAGCCATGGGTGTCCATCAAAAGACGTTAACATCGTTAACCCCGGTGTTAACGTCTTATCACCGATAGGAACTCGAGCACCGAGACATCAAAAGCGGTAGCCCTTCCTCTACCAGTAATTACCAGAGTTGGTCAACCTGTTCGATAGTTTACGTTATCTAACGTTTAGCGCCAGATGTCCATGCGAACCAGCCAATTTACTTTGTGGTATGGCAACACGCACATGAAAGACACCGTCGATCACCAGGCCTGTATACATGTCCGCTCAAGGGTACGCGACAGGGCAGACATTAGGACACACCGTATATCGTGGGTCGAGGTAATTGTGGCAATGACGACGGAAGTGTCAGATTAGAATCTGAGATGCTCCCGGGAGCACGCGATGCTTGTCTAACCCTCTGAAACTATTAGGCGAACGGTTCGGTTGCCCCCTTAAACATTCTGTTCACCAGTGGTGCTTTCATATCGGTGCCATTCAATGGACCTTCCTTTTGTACCTACCTCCGAACGATTTCTGGCTATGAGACACTGATATTTAGCAATGGATTAGGCTATCAAAATTGAATCCTTTCAAATATACGGGATCTTTGGTCACCAGAATCTGTAAAATCCTTTTGAAATGATATTTTACTCATTTAAAAATATTATACTTTTATAAGAACATCAGATTAAAATATCAAATTGATATAATAAGATAGCCACCCTCTAAATTTCTTAAGGGAAAATGGTATCGTAAGGAAAGAAGATCCTACCATCTGTGTTAACGTTTACTTAGGAAAATTTTTATTTTATATTTCTTAGTGATATATTAAATTTTTATTTATATAAGTCATTATGAGAAAAGAATCATATTCAAAAGTTTTCAAATTAAAAAATTCATACCCCCTGCGTAGAGATGTATACCACGGGGAATTCACGACCCCCCTTCTTTTTTCAACCATATCGTTCTCCCAGTGTATATGGTGTGGCCAGCCCCAAGAAATCGGCGATCTCGAAAATCTGTACGCGGTATAACATTTCCATCATGTTAGCATAAAATTATCTGGGGTCCGGGCATTCATTAGCAAGTCAAATGAACGGTGGCCAGATTGAGCACCACTGGAAGGCCAAGTTGGAGAGACCCTTCGAAAGAACGGAACGCGCCTGCGAGAAGCAGATGAGACCCCCGCCTTTTTGGTAAACCGGGGCTAAACTGTAATAAAGTGCGGTACGCATTACCCACCTACCTTTGAGACCTTCCCGTTATCTGATTCCACGAGCCGACGGGTTTCACCTGTGAACGACATATGGCCCACATCGTGCCACTTGCTTTCGCTGCCCCTTTCGACGACACTGTGACTACTTTCGCGTTAATTTGTCGATGAGATAGCGTTAACTCCCGGCCGGAAGGAAATATGACCAGGTTAATGATTGGCAACGGTCGGGACCATGCGACCATGAGACCAATATTATGAAATTTTCAAATTATGCCGTATAAAAAAAGTTTGAAATTTTATTAAATTGGTTCTTCAGCAAGTGGCAACCCCGACAGTAGTCAAAAAGATTCTACGAATGAAGCAAGAGCAACCAACGATGTTTGCCTGGGAAATTCGTGAACAACTTGCCCGCCAAGGAGCTTGCGATCCTCAAAGCTTACCATCCGTTTCCTCTGTAAATCGAATTCTTCGGGGTGGAGGACTTCATACTGATCACACAGGGATCGAGAGTGGTTCATCGAGCACTTACCCTTCGCAAGTTTCTCCAAACGTCTCCAATAGAGGTAAGAATCCAAGTTTTAATAAATAATAACATTACTAGATTCTTTGTATTATTTAGAAGTTATTTAGATATAAATGTGCAAAATTGAGAGCAGGCTGTTACTTAAGTATTTAAAGTCGAAACGCGGATAAAATGTTCTACTTCGCAAAGATTGATCAGATTTCGGAATCATTGTCGAAATTTTTCTTCGTTTTTTTCGACATCATTACGCTTCTATGGACGGAGAGTCGCTTTCAAAAATGCAACGATAGTGGTTCAACAAGAAGAAGGAGCAGCGAAAGAGAGAAAGATGGAGGGAAGGAAAAAGAGTAGAGGAATTCATAAAATACCCTGTGGCCGATTGACTCGTCAGCGAGATGCAGAGGCAGACACGCAACCTCTTGAAGAAACTCAAAATTTGCCTTACAATTTACCTCGTTTATGCTGCAAATTGTCTATCATGCTGCTCCTTTTTCTTTCGGACGAAACTGCATCACGAAGTTTATACCAGTCGATAAAATTTCATCGTTAGACTACATGATGCATTTAATCCTTATCTTCTTTAATCTCTCATTCGTTCTTCTTGTAAATAGGTGTTAGTATTTAATTTGAAATTAATGTATTAATTATTAATTAATACGTTATCTTTTGATCCTCAGATGCGATCATAAGAACGGATTACCAACTATTTTATCCTGGAAATCTGGGACCATTACACATTTCCACAACTTCCGGCAACACTAGCACAGCATCGTGGACTCCAAGTTTATATTCATCCCTTTATCAAGCAACAACTCTGCACTTGCATCACGGAATGCATGCTTTCACGTAAGTTTTTCTTAAATTATTATCATCTCTTTCGTAGAATAATTAGGTTTATTTATTAAATATACCAGCAACTTTATGCCAATGTTTAAATATTTTATTTAAACCAGAAGCTCTGCATTGATTTAAAAACAGAACACGTAATCTAAAAAATCTATGATGTTCCTTTCAGATCGTTAGATGTAGATCGTCTGTCAGAACAAAACGGATCAACAAATCAGGTGGATTTAAAATCCAGCTCCAGTTCCATGGCGGGAAGCGACGATTCCCTGGATAAAAGTGATCTGGACGAAAACACAGAGTCCCAGGACCATTATAAACCATTTCAAAATTCACCAATCATTCTGGAGTTAGGTCAAAAAATCGGAAGCGATCGTAGCGCCTTCGTGAGACACAGCACATCCGGTTCATCCGGAAGCTTCGAGGCTCGACAGAGTCCATCTCCGACAACCAGTCAGAAACAGAACGCCTCATCACCACGGATGTTGGAAACCGGAAACGAACGGAGCAGCATGGCCAAAGAAGCAACGATCGATGGAAGACCGATGCAACCTCAGAGAAAAAGGAATCCTTATTCGATAGAGGAATTATTGAAGAAAGATGAAGATAAAAGCGCCTCAAAGAGGCCAAAATTGACCAACATCGGAGTAGTACAGCCGTGCGGAACCATCCTGAATAAAGAAATTTAAAGTACTTACGAGGAATGGAAAGAAATGGAGGGAGAAAGTTGTGCGTGAGGTGTTGGAAAAGTTTAGGAATTTCTTTTCTCTTGTAATTTTTTTGCTTACAAATGTAGCAATTTTTAAATTTCACAAATGTTTTAGGCAATAAGTTTTAACCCTCCTATGGTACTCTACGTGCCCTTAGCATGTGATTTTTGTAAATTTTTAAACCATCATTTTTCACTATTTAACTAATCTAACTTTAAGCTACGTTTTAAATTGATCCATGTATTAAAAAAAAAAGTAAAATAAGTCCTCATAGAAATCAAACTTCAAACTAAATTTGAAGTATTACTTGAAATTTGATCCTTAATGTTAGTTTTTATGAACATAATAGGAGGGTTAATTGGACTTGTACTTACGAAACACAGTTGTAAAAAGTTATAAAAACTCCTACTAACCTTTCATTGACAAAAGTGTAACTACTTAAATGATAGGTGAATACAATATAAGGAAAATAATTACTAGAACTTGAAACACCATACGTAAGGATTTGATGATAGAGGCTAAGATGATTATCTAGATTCTTCAATGACTAAGAAAGGATATTTATGTGCCGTAGAAGCTATTGAAGATAAGGATGAAATTGTTTTAGGATCAGAGAAATAGAGGCTAGAATAGAAGGCTGTATAGTTTTGAAAGATCACTTATCGACTTCATGCCATTTTATTGACTCCCACTGGAAACAAACATTTTATTTTAATTTACTGTGATCTCTCACGGAAACATCCAGAGTCAAGGTTTCTTACTGTTTCATTTTACTAAACAATTCATAAATATTTTCATTAAAAAATTATACTCTTCATTTCATGATACTATTTATTGCGTTTTTCATTAACTTTCGTATGAGGATAAAGAAGAGATCATTCAGTATAAGTATCATTCTGCTTGAATTACCTAAAGTCAGACAATTAATTTTTTTGCACAAAGTTACAGTAAATCTGAGAACTAATTTAATAGAAAATTATTCGAGAATCCATTCTACAACTAAAGTTATAAAATCAACAGATTGACTGACATAGTAGTCATTGGTGACTCGGTCGATGAATTTAATTTATTTGATTAATAAAAAAAATAAAAATTAGTATTTATTAATTAAGATGTACTATTCGTCCAACATAAATATGAGAGAGACATCGGGGGATCTTCATTTACTCCGCCCGATCCCACTCTTAATGTCTAGTTCAATCCCCACCCATAGGTTCCAGAGGCTATGCCATTGCTTGAAGTCATCGTCACCCCATCATCGTTCTGTTCCACTCACGCTTGACCGATTTATTTGTTTTCTTCGTCAAGCGATTCGACCAATTACGAAAATACTTGCGTTGTGAAGTAGGGGTATGGGGTAGTGGGGCATAGATCCCTACAAGTTTTAGCCATGCCATCTTCTCGCGGACGAATAGTGCACTTGCGATCAAATGGCGATGTTCCGTATTTCTCGCCCTTTACCATAAGCATTCCAGGGGGAAATGACGATGTAGGAAATAATCTTCCATATACATACATTGGAATCTGGCCCTATTTCGTTAAAATTAACCTGTATCGTCATTATCCTTAGGAAAGCCTGATTTTCTACTCTTCAGTTTCTACTGTGCCAGTCAATTTGTTAATCAAAATTTTAATGATAGAAAAGGAAACTGAAATTAGAGGAGCGATCATTGTACTTACTTACTACGACACGGAAAACAATCATAAATTGTATGTAATATTAGTAGTATCAATCGTCGATCACGTATTATTGACTGCAATATTGTAGGATATACGGTAAGTCTGTTAAGCTAATTTATAATTAAATTATTTTTATCCCCGTATCACGTGGATAAACAATCTGTGTCTTTGAAACGAGGTATCACTAAAGTGTATACGTAATGATGTAGATGTTTGACGAATTTTAATGATTTTAACCAGATCAGTTAAATGATTTGCGATATAAAATTCTTTTGCCCGCGGTTCTGCGATTTCGTTTTGCGAACGGGATGATGCCATACTATTCTGTAGTTATTATTAATATTTGATTTTAATAAGTCAAAGGAACTCTGACGTATTCTAATAAAGTGAAACGATTAATAATCTAAATAAAATTGGTTTTATTTATTTATATCGTAGAAGAAGGTGGGAATATGAATCAAATACTTATTTCTCGGGTAAATGTTGAGATTTATCGAAAACTGAAATAAAAACAGCAAAAACAAAGTTTGGACCAACATTTTGGTAAAAGAAAAAGTTGTTCAGAGTCACCCCAGCAAGCTATTTCCGGAAGTATCGGAAGTTACAGGACACCCTGTACATATGTGGCGGTCATACAATAGTTGCTAAGCAACAGTTAACACTACACAAAGTCCGCTACAAGATTACAAGAAACGTGCATTGTAACTGGTGACAAGTTTTATTTGTAATTAACAATGGCAGAGGACGTGAAGCCGGAAGTGATTAAAAAAACACAAGATTTACTTGGAAAGTATTTTAAAAAACCACCCCTCACAGAGAAATTACTGAAGAAACCACCGTTTCGATTTCTTCATGATATTGTTTTAGCTGTAATGTATTATTCACTGTAGTTTCTCTTTACTTCTTGTAAATGTAATATTTTAAATGAATGATATAATACATAGGTCATCAATGAATCTGGATTCTTGGATGGTTTATTCACAGAAGAAGAGTTGAATTCTGAGAACATAAAAAACAAAGAGGCAAAACTTGCTTTTTTAACAAAGTTAATTGATGTTGTCAGTAAGTTGTCATTACTTTTTTCCTTGTGTTATGAAAAATATATCACCTTCTTTTGTTTGAATATATTAAATAATCATTTCAGAATTAGCTACTGGTATTAATCTAACTGTAAGAGCTAATAAGATAGTCTCTGGTCAGGAACCAACTAAAACAAATGAGTTACTACAGGCAATTGGAAAAGCTTTAGATAAAAAGGTACTGTAACAATAATGTACAATAATATAACTTCGAAAAAAAAAGAAAATAACATGATAAAGTTAAGGATCCTTCTTTTAAATTAGATAAGCAGCAAAGAAGCTATCGAACGATATAAAAAAAGTATATCGAAAGGTAAATCTACTTCAAAAAGTAAATTATCTGCAAGAAAAGAGGAAAGATCAAAAGATGGGTCACATAAAAAAATTTCAACAGATAAAGAAAAATCTACAGAACAAAGAAAAAAAGTTTCCAGTACAAATAACATAGCAGAAATAGAACGTAAAAATGAAAGCCATGAATCTCAAACAAATACTGAAATTAAAACACAAGCTGAGGTAAATTAACATATCTTCATCTTAAGTTATACAAATGCAAAAATAACTTGAATATATGTATTTCAGCCATCTCAGAATAAAGTTCCTTCATCTGCACATAAAAGAAAGTCTTCATCTGCTAAACTCAAACAAAAAGTATCTGCTGTGTCTTCATCTGAAACAATAACTTCTCAAACAAACAGAGATAAAAAGATGGAGGAAAGTAAAAAACTAAAAGAATCTGAAAATCAAACAAAGCAAATAATGCAGGATGAAAATAGTAAATCCCAGGAACAGACACCACATATGGTAGATACTGTCCATTCAGAATTTAAATTTACAGATAATAATGAGAACAGTAAAGTAGATGAGAATACGAAGCCAGTAGAATATAAAGAAAATGAAATGAGAAATAATGAAGCTCCTCTTCAAAGCAGTGGAAAATCGGATCACATAGCTCCAGAAGTTCAAAAATCTCAGTTAGAAAATATCGATGTTAGGTATTTAGATTCTACACACATATGTTTTTTAAGCCAATAAATATAATATGTTATAGTAAACTAATGAAATTTTACACTTTCAGTAATTTAGAAACAAATTCTAGGCCAAAAACTTCGTTACGTCCACCTTCCTCAAGGCCAATTAGTGCTAGACCTGCAGCACCCAGAATAAGAGGAAAGGCAGAGTTATCTATTAATGAAGAAATACTGTAATTGATGTAAATTTATTTTTGCCAAAATAGCGTCGAAATAGATTATTCAAATTTTCTTTTTTAGAACACCAATGGGAACTATTAGTGTCATTGTGGAAAATGCTGATACTAGGGAGGATGACGCTGAAGATATGGTAGTAATGGAAACAAAAGGAAGCAAAGGTGATTCCTTAGAAAACAATATTTATAAAGCTAATGATCAATTAACACAAGAACATGGACATCTCGTTGCTCAAATATTAGAAACGCAAAAAGAATTGGTTAACAATGAAAACGTTGATGTCATACCAAGAAAGACAAATATTGTAAGGACATTTCAAATAAGTTATTATTATTAACGTCATTATCCTTTATTGATGTAAAATATCTTACTATGTAAAATGTAAATTCTTTTTAGGCATGGGATACAAGTTCGAAACGTGACGTAATTACAAAAGAAATTGACAAATTGCGTAATACAATACAATCTTTAACGCGCGCAACAAATCCGCTTGGGAAATTGTTAGATTATTTTCAGGTATATTTCATTTTGTTTATACTATTCAAAATAATATCATTACTCTTGTAATATAGAAATATTAACAGGAAGATGTAGAAATTATGCAGAAAGAATTATTAGACTGGAGAAATCAGTATCAAGAAGTAAATGAACAGCTAAAAATAGAAAAAATGTAAGAACATCTCACAAGTTTTTGTCATTTACGAAAATATTTTTCTAGTGCGCGAATAAGAGTATAAATCAAATTCAATAAACCGGGGTATAAGTTACCAACTTTTACGTTTAAAATTATCACCTGATCGAACATTGCACTTAAAAATATATTTTATAAGTGATTCGCTATGAAACTAACACCGCTGAATTATACTCTTGTCCGCCTACCAGAGATATTATGTGTGCAGTTAATTTTTGTACATACTTTCAGAAAAACACAAGAATTGATAGAACCTATGAGGGAAACGTTGAAAGAAATAGAGTACAATATGAAGACACATCTTGACAAAATATGTCAAGCAAAGTTACAAATTATAAAAAATGATCAACGAATACAAACCTTATTAAATGGTAATGTCTAATGTTTTTAAACACAAATATTACAAACGCATAATTTTCTTCTCTTTATTCATTAGTATATAAATACAAAAACATATACAACTTAAAAAGATCTTATCATATGACTTATATGTATTTGAGTTTAAACATAATTAAATGTCGTGAATTTATTTTCATAATTCATATCTGTTTTGCAAAGTTGCAAGTTCGTTTTGAGATATATGCTCCACTGCATTGCAATATTCGAAAAGTGCCTTTAAATCTAAAAATTTATAAAGAATAATATTTAAAATTGTACTACTACAATTAGTTTAAAACATTTTAAATGTAATGTAGTAATACTTACTTTTTTTATCACTATTACTAATAAACATGATAAGTGCTCTAAATCGTTTAACTTGACTAAGATCTTTTAAATAACAAAATATAGGTTCTTTCCTTTTCATAAATTCTGTCCTTAAAACTTCCAATATTTCACTAAAAATATTTGATTCCATTGAGTCTTGAAATATTTGATGTAAGTTATTCCCAGATAATTGCTGAAATTTAATCAACTCACTGTAATAATATGTAAACCCTCGTTGCTAAAAAATTGTCAAGTTTAAATATAATTTTCACCTTTAAATATTTATATCTAAGTTCTGATGTTTTAATCGTTTTCCAGTTCATTATAAATTGTACTGCTGTTTTAGGAGTTGGCGGTATATTGTAAATATCCTCTGTAAGTTCGGAAATTTTTGCAGAATCATTACTTTCCATAAGATTATTATCTTTACTAACATCCTCAAGCAGTACAGATTCAGTTTTATTATATTCCATCTTATCCTTATCATATTTATGTTGAGGGATACCAAATTCTACTTCTTCAACTGATATTCTTGTTAATGATTTCTATAAATAATTAACATTTTTAGTATGCACAGTAAATAAATTTTATCTACAGAATCTTACTTTTGAACGTAAGTGAGGAGGCTTTTTGGTAGGTTCTATTACAATAACATCATCTTTTTCTGGTAACCAATCAGGAATACGTGGATCCCTTTCTTGCTTTTTTATAGCATCTTCTGTATCACCTTTTTTATCTGCTGTAGAGATATTACATGTACTATGTTTGATATTTTTAATACTGGTTTCGTCATCGCTTGTACATTTATTCACTTTAATATTTTTACTATCTGTTGCTTGAGATTCTGATACAGTACTGCCACATATTTTTTTATCCATCTTCTTTTCAATTGTTAATTTTTCTGGTAACTTCTTTATACCTTCATTCAAAGCAGATGGCTGCATAAAGTAGTACCATTTAATGACAATAGCTAAATTTGATGTACAAATATATTCATTTTCTAGTTTTTACTTACTTCTGAAACTTTGATTTTATTTTCAATTTGAACAAGCATTGATTTAGCCTCTTTATTATATGGTTCCAGTTTTAAAACTTTTTCTAAATCTTGTTTAGCTTCTTTGTATTGTTTCAGGTTCATTCTAGCTGATGCTCTTCTATGATAGGCTTTCACATAAGTTTCATCCAACTGAATAGCTGTTGAGCAATCTGATTCTGCAGAATAAAAACTACATAAACATAATAAGTGCATATCCCCCTACAAATCTTTTACTTTATTGTATACATACAACTGATAGATCATTGCACTCACTTGTCTAACTTTAACTGACAAAGTGCACGATTTGCATAAAATATAGCATCATATGGGAAAGCTTTTATAGCCTCATTATAACATGAAATAGCTTTAGACCATTTTTGCTGCTGTACAAAAGCATTGCCTTCATTTTTATGCTTGGTTGCTACCTGGTGAACTTTTTCCAATTCTTCTTTAGACATAGTTTCATCTCCAGAATCATCTGATTGCTCTTCTTTATCAACATCTGTACATGCTTTATCCTTTTAAACAAAATGAATAAAAGCATTAATGACAAAATACCATACAATTTTTAATTTCTATTACATATAAAATAGATAAAATTACCACATCAAATTTATCCCAAGCAGAATAATCATAAGATTTAATTCTTTTTGATTTAATATCAATTCCATTGTGTTTTGCAGGAGCATTTTTTGCATTATTTTGATGTTTGCTTCTAACTGGTGGTAAAGTGATCTGCAAAAAAGTTAATTTATTTATTTAAAAAACTGCATTGACGATAGATAATAACAACTTGTACCTGACCAATTGCTTCTTTCTTGATTTCCTCATCTTTACGTTTCATCTGTTCTTCCCAATTTTTCATATCAAGAAATTCTTTCTGTAAATCTTCCGTATTATCTTTTACTTGCTTTTGCAGTAATATCGATTTATCCATTTTTATTATTGTTATACTTTAAAACACTCGATCAAATCAAAATATCAATCACAAATTTAGGTTATGTCATAATTCTACAGAAAATAGGGGTCGAGCGGTAATGATTTATGGGGTCGCAGGCACCCCATGATGTCGGCTACTTGCGTAGAGCAACGTAGAGCACAGCCAGGATACATACAATATGATTATTTTTAATTTTTCTTAGCGTATTTCGTTTGTAAATCCTTTGCGATTGATTGTGAGCGTATTTTTAATGTTTGTGACAAATTAGTTCTTGTGTAATTAGCAATTTTATTTCAATCATGATGTGAGCCGAAACTTTTAGGTAATTTTTTATAATAAACAGATTTTGTGATAACTGATAACTGTGATTGATTGGAAATCGTTTGTGATTTACAAATATATCATTTTCATTGTTTGTGAGTGAATAATTTCTTAATTATTTACAAGCTAGATCCGGTCAAACCCTTCACTATCCCGAACAAATGAGTTTCACGATTTGTTCGTTTTTCGTTCTTATATTTCGCTAGATCCGGTCAAACCCATCACTACTCTGAACAAGTGAGTTTCACGATTTGTTTGTTTTTCGCTCTTATATTTCGCTAGATCCGGTCAAACCCATCACTATTCCGAACAAGTGAGTTTCACGATTTGTTCGTTTTTCGTTCTTATATTTCGCTATTTGCTTCGGGGTCCCTGAGAACCCCAAGATTGCATTCGGGGTTCTTGAGAACCCCAAGACTGTGTCCCGGGGTCCTGAGAACCCCAGAATCGTGTTCTGGGATCCTGAGAACCCCAAGACTGAATCCCGGGGCCCTGAGAACCCCAGAATTGAATTATGGGTTCCTGAGAGCCCCAAGACTGTATTCCGGGGCCCTGAGAACCCCAGAATTGTATTCTGGGTTCCTGAGAACCCCAAGACTGTGTTCCGGGGCCCTGAGAACCCCAGAATTGTATTCTGGGTTCCTGAGAACCCCGAGACTGTATTCCGGGGTCCTGAGAACCCCAGAAGGGTCACCGGGGTTCTCAGGATCCCGGGGATGGTAACCGGGGTCCTTGGCACCCCAACAGGATACCTGGGGTCCCTGAAACCCCAGATACCATATTGTCGGTATGTAAAGAGAGTCATTGGTGCTTTGGGGTCTCCGAAACCCCAGATACCACAATGTCGGTATGTAAAGAGATTCGTTGGTGCACTGGGGTCTCCGAAACCCCATATTCCATAATGCCGGTAGGTATCGAGATTCATTGGTGCATTGGGGTCTCCGAAACCCCAGATACCATAATGTCGGTACGCAAACAGTGTCACTGTTGCTTTGGGGTCCTTGGCACCCCGGATACTATATTATTGGTATGCAAAGATAGTCATCGGCGTTTCGGGGTCCTTAATGCCCAATATGATATCAGGTCGGTACGCAGAGGGTGTCATTGGCGCAGAGGGGTCCCTAACACCCCAGGATAATATCAGGACCGTATGAAGAGGGCACAACCAATATAATTTTTTTCCAGAGTTCATTTAATTTACTTTATTTATTTATTTTTGCTTATTAAATAAGCTCATCGAAGGGAAATAACATTTATGATTATATCCCTCTTCTGGGACTCAGACGAGGACCCCATTTATTTTACTTTTCCCAGTTATTTATATAATTTTATACCCCATTATAGGCCAAGGCCATCCCAGTGTCTCTTACATCCCTGCATTCATCCCATCCCAGCATTCCTTATATTCCTGCAACTCATAAATACCTTTTTTTTTTTTTTTTTTTTTTATTTTAACGTGGTGGAAATCTTCAGAAAGACACCTTCAGCCCCCCTGGGGAAGGGCCGAAGGTAGTGTGGGATTTTTACCCACTAAAACCACCACGGTGACCTGCACTAGGGCCGTAGGGAGGGTCCTTCGACCCTCGGCCATGTGCCAAACTCCGTCGACATCGGGGGCCACACTCGATGCCGGCACTCCTCGGCCCGCGTGCAGTGGAGACCGGGACCCCAGCCCCGGACCACCACGAAATTCCTTTCTTCACCCCTCGTTCTGTTACATCCCTGCATTCTTTTCATCCCTACATTCTTTTTATCGCTTCAGCCCTTACATCCCTATATTCTTTTCATCCCTACATTCCCTGCATCTCTTCATCCCTTACATCCCTGCATTCTTTTCATCCCTACATTCCCTGCATCTCTTCATCCCTTACATCCCTGCATTCTTTTCATCCCTACATTCCTTACATCTCTTCATCCCTTACATCCCTACATTCTTTTCATCCCTACATTCCTTTCATCTCTTCATCCCTCACATCCCTACATTCCTTTCATCTATTCATCCCTTACATCCCTACATTCGTTACATCTCTGCATCCCTTATAATAAATATATTATAAAGACTGCTTCGAGTAAAGGTAAGTAAAGGTAAGTCAATTCCTAATTTCGCGAAAATTTTGAAAAAGCAGCGCCCCCTAGCGGCAAAAATTTGAACTAAAATTTCGATGTCAAATCAGCGCCATCTGGTTTTGGAAAAAGGAACTAAAGCTTGCTCAATTTCTGGCCCTCTGGCGGCAAAAATGTGAACTAAAATTTCGATGTCGAATCAGCGCCATCTGGTTTTGGAAAAAGGAACTAAAGCTTGCTCAATTTCTGGCCCTCTGGCGGCAAAAATGTGAACTAAAATTTCGATGTCGAATCAGCGCCATCTGGTTTTGGAAAAAGGAACTAAAGCTTGCTCAATTTCTGGCCCTCTGGCGGCAAAAATATGAACTAAAATTTCGAAGTCGAATCAGCGCTCTCTGGTGGCGAAAAAAGGAACTAAATTTGGATCATTTGAATGGCGGAATATAAGTGATACAAGGATGTAAAGGATACAGACATGTAAGGGATGCAGAGATGTAAGGGATGTAGAGATGTGAGGAATGCAGGGATGTAAGGGAAGGAGAGATGTAAGGGATGCAGAGATGTAAGGGATGTAGAGATGTGAGGAATGCAGGGATGTAAGGGAAGGAGAGATGTAAGGGATGAAGAGATGTAAGGAATGTAGTGATATAAGGGATGAAGCGATGTAAGGAATGTAGGGATGAAAAGAATGTATGGATGAAAAGAATGTAGAGATGTAAGGAATGTAGGAATGAAAAGAATGCAGAGATGTTAGGAATACTGAGATGTAAGGGTTGCTGCGATGTAAGGAATGCAGTGATATAAGGGTGCAGAGATATAAAGGGTGCAGACGGAAGTAATACAATCAACACGTTCGTCCTCCTAATGAGTTTATTTAATAAGCTAAGAAGATAAATACAGCAGATTAAATACACGCAGAAAGTAAAATAAGAGTATAAGATTGTAGCAGGTAGACCTGCAGCCCTCAGCGTTCGCTATAAGATGTTTCACTTCGCTCGGTGAAGTGAATATCATCCTGCGGTGTCTCGGACCCCATTGCGGCAATCACGATTTCTGGATACCGACCTGGTATGATTATGGGGTGTTAAAGACCCCTCGGCATAATTGACGGATTCTGCATGCGGACCTGATATCCTGGGATGTCTCGGACCCCACTGTGACAGCGACAGTCTCTGAATACCGACCTAATCGCATCTTGGGGTGTCTAGGACCCCTTGAAGCATGACCCTTCGAAAACAAAGGCATGTCTCTGGTTCCTGTTTCGTTGATTTCACAAGGTGGCCGTGAAATGGCGTTAGGGACGCTGTTTTTTAAAGCCGCAATTAATATAAAATCATAAGGAATCTAAACAATTGTGTCGTTTATAAATCTGTACAAGCTGTTAGTCCTATAAACAAATCTTTATATAATTTTTATTACATACATATACATACATTTATTGTTTTATTGTTTTTATATTGATTGATGTGGTAGTCCCTTTAAAAATGTCTCCTGTCACGTTTGTTCACTAAGGTTATTTTGTAAAGTGTATGTAGAAGAACACATACTTTATTTATTAAATGAAAAGGACATTACATGCTATGAATTTATAATAGATAGCGACACGATGAACACTGCACACATAAATTTGTTACCTTTGCTTGAATCTTTTTTTAACCAAGGAAATTGGAGCGAATTGTCGAACGTTCTTAATCCTAAATTATTTACAGCGGTTGATTCAGAGTATGATTTATCTCACGTAATATATTTTATTAATACGCGATGTATAGTTAACATAATAAGTTATCAATTTCAGGGAATTAATTGCATTACCAGTCCTAGCTAAGGTAGCTCAAATTCTTACAATGGAAGATTCTGTTGTTCCTAATAATATAAAAATTACTTGCTTAAAATGTTTAGGAAATTCTTGTTTCAACAGCTACATACATAAAGAATATACATCAAATTATGTTGAAAGAGGAAAATTCTGTAACAAGTTATATATGTCCCTAGCAACAAATTATGACAATTTAAAAGAAATCTTTAATTTATATTCTTATGATTGTCATTTTCCTTATGAAGGTGTTATTGAATGGACGTTAAATTATATTAAAACTACCAAAAGTAATGAACTGTTGGATGATCAGTTGGAAATCTTAAGACTAAGTATTCAATTTCTATGTAATTTATTTACATTTGCATATAAAGGTAGCACTTTCCCAGACCAATGTGATATACCACAGTATCTATATGATACTAATTTGAAGAGTATAATAATGTAAGTATAGTTAATGTAATCTTATGCAATTATATCATTACTTCAAATATTTTTTATTTGTTGACAGAAACCTAATAGGGTATGATCACATTCCACTTGTAAGAGCTTCATGCATGTTTATACACAATGCTCTCAAAAAATTCGAAGGAAAGAATTTTACAGAACAGGAAAAAGCTCAATTATGTTCCCGATTGTTAAAACCAATTAAAGAAGGGTTAGAAAGTGCAAAAGAGACTTTGCTGGTTTTGCTATGCCAAACAAACATATTACAAAATACATACGATGATATGATCATTCAAGATAAACTATATTTATTAGAAGTAATTTATAATGAACTCTTGAAGTCAGTATACGAATCTAAAGAGAAATCTTTATTTACCAAGGAGACCATTGATTTTCTGATTGAAAGATTTTGCAAAATAAGTGACTTAATTTTGAAAACAGCTGATGCTGACACAGACGAGATGGAACCTACAGAAGCAGTGATTCTGCTTGATATTCTTGGTGTCTTGACTTGTGAATCTTCACAGGAATATAGCTTTTTAAAAAGCTACAGAAACTTACTTATCAATTGTACTTGTAAGTAGTCTATATTCAATTTTGGTATTGAACCATGTTTAATAGCGTATTCTTAACAGATCTACTAAAATCTATGCAAACAATTGGAAAACAATCCAAAAATTACTTTACACCGTTACAAAGATTGAGCGATATAGCACCAGCTGTTCATGAAATGAAAATTAATGAATCAAAAGCGAATGGAGCGGAACATGAAGCTAAAATTAACGCAACAACGACTGACAATATCCGTAGTCATCCTGCTTATGGTTTTAAAGCTGGTTTAATAAGGATCATCGGGAACATGGCATACAAGAACAAACAATATCAAGACATGGTGCGTATTCTATCATTTTACTTGGTGGTTATCTGATATCCAAATTCATATATAGATTTAATTTCTGAATTGATATTTGAATTCCGATGTAATATACATATTTAGTATACCACTGTTATTCCATTATTTAATTACCTTCAATCGGCAAAGAGATCAGCATGAAATGTTCGATCCTCTCATCCAGCAAGTAGCGCTCCGAGGTCCATAACGGTAGCAATAGCAACTGTAACACAAAGTGCACCGGATAAATCACTAGTTCCTGGTATCGGTATCGAAGGAAAAAAATGCAACGATTCATAAGCAATCGATCATCGATCTAATATTTTTTTATAACAGTCTCGTTCTTCTCCTATGCTGTTGCATCGAAACGACGATCGTTCATTTATCACGCCCGCCCGAGTACAAAGACTTTTTGCACTATAGATCATCCTCTGACACGCAAAAAAATACGGGGAACGTGGTACATACAAACGTTCAAGCCCGAAATAACTTTCTCTTATTCTCGTTGCTCGGTTTTTTATTTTTTTATTTTATTAACCCTTTATTATGTACACGGGCTTACGAGTGATCGTTATTGCCCCTTATTGATTTCATCTCTCGCGCACAAAAGAACAAGAACGTTCTCGCGCCGTGTGCACTGTTCACCGAACAAAGGAAAATTAAGTATCCTGTCCGAGTCGAAGACGCGGCAATTTAGTCGGCAATCGGATATCAAGCTAATATATTAGGTTCTTGCAAAAGGTTTGTCGTATGTTTGAATTCAAGTTGAACATGAATTTCTCCGAAATTATTTACTTACACTATATTACGTGAAATATTTAACAACACATAATTTATTTTCCAACGCAACTTGCCAGCATAATAGATTTATATTCTTTTCGTCGCGTTCAAATAATTTTATCGATATTCTTATAGAAAAAAGTTTGAACACAGGAGGCCTCGATTTCCTTTCTCATCGGTACATACCTCTTTTCTCCTTTCTCCCAAAGAGAAAGAAGAAGAGAAAGAGGAAGAAGAAGAAGAAGAAGAAGAGGGTGTCGAAGGCGATCGTGTTCTTAAATTTCATTCTGTAAACACAGTCCTTCGTGGGCAATTGTAAATCGCTCGTAAAATTATGCGACGCTCTCTTGCGTTACACTGTTAATATACAATCCAGGTACCCGCGGGCCCTTTATAATAAAATTTCTGCGCGTACGGTCTTTATGTTTATGCTGCTCGAAGCGTGGGTATATCGACGTTTAAAAATCATTTCTTGCAAGGCCTTCTTGTCAGGTTCAATTTCGTATACGCACCATGATTCGTGTACCTCGTGGATTTAGAGACTCTTTCATGAAACGTATCGTCGTTCTCGAATCAGGTTTAATTTGAATAGTTGATCGTTTTTCACGAACGAAACTTTGCAAATGCAAATTTCAAACGCGAAAATTTTATCTTTACGACTATGGAAATCGCGAATGCTGTAAGGGTTAAAGTTCATCCGATTATTGTAGAAATTTACCAACGATAAAATTTGAATATAAATTCGTATAAATTTTGTTGCAGAAATTCGATTTTTCATTCGCGTTCAATGCGAATTAAAAATGATTTCTTAAATTTTCACAATTCTTTTTGTGATTATTCTCATAATTTATACACGTGATTCTTAATTTACGCTTGAGTCTTGCGATTTTATACTTATTTTTTATCGTTAACGTATGAAAGTTTCTAAAAGTTGCAAAAATTCGCAGTTTTCTAAAAACGGAACAAGACGAGAAAGAAAGCCGGTCGTTCACGGCTTGATTCTCGTCGGTTTTCTTTGATATTTACGACGGTAATCCCGCGATTTTATACGACGCGTAACTTCACAACAACGTTCAATATTTTTCAGCTTCGCGAAATGAACGGCGTGCCTCTGCTTCTGGACTGCTGCAATATAGACGCAAAGAATCCACGTAAGTTCCGCGCATGTGTTTAATTAATCGTTTATTGTGATCGGGCGAGTTTCGCACGCCAATGATTCATATTTCAACTAATTAATGGGCATCGGCGCCGTATCCCGGCGCGATTCAATTTCGCGCTTCCAGTTATAATGCAATGGACGATACTCGCATTGCGGAATTTATGCGAGGACAATCCTGAAAATCAAGAGATCATCCAGAATTGTACGAGAGTTGGAATTGTCGAGAACAGTGTGCTGATGGAAGTGGGTCTAACTTTACACGAAGACGAAGAAGGAAAGAAAATTGGTATCGTACCCTTGCCTCGTGATCAAAAGTAATCGAGGAAGAAATGACTGATATTTGTTTGATGATTTATTTTTTATTTGTTTAATACTTAACCCGGAGATGGTGTGGTGGAATGTTACCCTAATCATTTTTTTCTTTTTTTATTCATTCGGATTTCATAATAATGATATTTTAAATTCCTTGTGCCCCTTTTTCCTTTTTATAATGCGTAAATAATTAGTGTGATTTTGATTATTTAGGTTGCTATTGAATAAAAGTATTAATAAACAAATAAAAGTGCATTAAAAACATATACAATTTCACATATTTCGTCCCTCCAAGCTTTCTCTACACCATCGCCGGGTTAATTTTATAAAATTTTTATCCTTTTTAGTCTGAACATATAAATGATTATGTTAAATTTAAGAAATAAATTCAGTTGTTTATTTTCTTGCGACATTTCATCCATATACGCAGATCCTTTTTAAACTTTTCATTATATTAATTATTGACTTACATTGTTATGTTGGATAAAGGTGTTACGTTAACATATATGTTTGTTTAAAGTGATGTAATAATTGATACATAATATACTTTGATTCTGTTGTTTAAAATCAAATTATGTTATACAATTAAAGTACACGATCATCGAATGTAATGCACACACACGTGAAGAATATAATTTAATTTTTGATCACCATGACTATGGTATATTATGTATTAAGTCTTCTAAGTAAATTAAATTAAGTAAACATGACTAATAAAAATGATAGATATACCTAATTCTTGTTACATTTTAAAAACTTATACGGTAATTGTTATCACAATGTATCATTTTTTCAAGCACAAGTATTCTAGAGCTAGATATCTCGAATTTATGCTACACGTTTCAAGGGGAAGAAATATTTATTCAGCTTACAATTAGCTTAGTTTTAAAGAAGAATCGATTATCTAATGAGAAATAAATAAATGAGCAGAAAAAAATATGTGTAATTACTTTAATCCAGAATCCTTTTCTAAAGTATGAATTTCTATATTAAATAAAGAAAATTTTTATATAAAAGAAGATGGAGCCAGATTCTTCTGCTATATATTTTATAAATAAAATATAGAATAATTAAACAATAATAATAGAATAAACAACATAGCAATCTCCCTTGCATACATATATCTAGGTTTTGCTGTATTTAAATTTCTACTTAAAGAAACAACAGTAGCAACGGAAAGAGAAACAAGGATTGCTTTCTACGATTGAGATCGTTCGTACAGATGCATAATTGCGAGCCACGTTAATTATATTGTTATTTACTGCTTGGTGTGTCGATGGTTCATAGGATAAGGTGTATCAGTGATCTCTTTATCGAGAGTTAGTCGCAATAATTATTCGAGTTAGGCCGATTGCAAATGTGTCTTTCGTGGCGCGCGTCGACTGTAAAGTAAGCCTACAATTATAGTACACGATAGGTACTATTACGTGAAATATGATATCGTATTGCGTAAAGAGACATTATATCTGCATTCGTGGTCTAGTGATTTACGATACAATAAAAGCTGCCAGGGGTTCACGGTCTATTAGCAATCACTAATGCAGCTGTGCACGGTTACGCGTTCGCGTCTATCATCTAAATTCGATTTAAACGAATAATTTATCATCTACACGCATCTGAATGTTTGTTAAGTAACATCTCGTTTCAATATTTCCTTCCTCATAAGGAACGTTGACACGTTATCAAACGGACATCTATCAATTGAACTTTTGCTACTATGAATATCAATTTATAAACTTTTGATCGTGAACGATTCATTCAATTGACTGTCAAATGGAGGGCTTAATAACGTATAAAACTAATTAAGGCTAGATAATAGACAAATTATTATAGCATTTTTCCTCGAAATTGATTTGTATAAATATTTAATCGCATTTTATGTATAATTATGTTATAATATTTGCAGTCGATTTAAAACAGATAATAAAATACAACCAGTCCGCGTGTCGTTTAAAACTATATTTGTCGTGCAATAGTATGATAAGTGGAGGAACCTTAAACATGCGACTCACCGTTCGTTGACTTGTACCACTGGCCCCATAATGTGTCTCTAAACCTAGTATAAATTAGTACTTACACTCGTGATCAAATCAGGAATAAGGAAAGTTCTTTAAATCTTAATTTTGACGATATCAATATTAATAGTAATTTAGAAAAAATATTATAACTAATTAATTACCAGTCCTAGCAGTCGTGTACTTCATGAATTTATTATCAATATATTTTCAATTATTTAACAATAGCGTTGATTTCGAATGAAATAGAAATCGATGGATAATCGAAACGCTATCGCGATGTAAATTCGTTCAACGTGAGTCACGCAGTGTAAACGCATTATAAAATGTAATGATACGTTTCTATCAATACAGATCATGATTCACGATCTAATCGAGTCTAACCAACAGTTCGTCGATTTATAGCCTATTGTGCGTAAAGAACTGCATCGATTTCTTTTCCATTTTCTGTTTCATTATCATTCATTATAACGTTACGACACGTTGGTTATTCGACTAATTCGATTCATTCTGATTTTGATCAGTGAAACATGAAGTTCTAAACAATTTGTTCGAATAAACAAATAACCATGCACTCCTTTCACAGCAATACTGTGAAAATTCTTTTTCAAACTTGCTACAAAGGAATGTAATATTATATTCGAGAAGAGGGAGCACAGGCTCGCACGAACCACGGAAGATTGCTTTTAATTTAAATATCAAGCGATCGCGATCGATTAATCTCGAGTGACTATAATGACCGGCAATTAACGTGAAATTTATCAGCTAATTATACGCGGAGTTAATTGTGTCGGGTAATGATTCCTTCGTAAAGCGAAATGGCGGAGAAGAAAGAAAGGGAACATCAGAGAAAAGAATGAGTCGATCATTAAATATCGCGAGATTCAAAATCCATACATTAATCTACTAATCTAAAAGTAATCTTTCTTTTTTTCAAACGTTCAGCTCTAAATTCAA